TATATACAGTAAAACCTCGATATAATGGCATTCGATGAAATACAGTAAAACCTTGATATAATGTCCCTCGTTTATATACAGTAAACCTCGATATAATGTCCCTCGTTTATATACAGTAAAACCTCGATATAATGTCCCTCGTTTATATACAGTAAAACCTTGATATAATGTCCCTACATTATATAAGTAAAACCTCGATATAATGGCATTCCATGAAATACAGTAAAACCTTGATATAATGTCCCTCGTTTATATACAGTAAAACCTTGATATAATGTCCCTAGTTTATATAAGTAAAACCTTGATATAATGCCCCTCGTTTATATACAGTAAAACCTCGATATAATGGCATTCGATGAAATACAGTAAAACCTCGATATAATGTCCATCGTTTATATACAGTAAAACATCGATATAATGTCCCTCGTTTATATACAGTAAAACCTTGATATAATGTCCCTAGTTTATATAAGTAAAACCTTGATATAATGTCCCTCGTTTATATACAGTAAAACCTTGATATAATGTCCCTCGTTTATATACAGTAAAACCTTGATATAATGTCCCTCGTTTATATACAGTAAAACCTTGATATAATGTCCCTAGTTTATATAAGTAAAACCTTGATATAATGCCCCTCGTTTATATACAGTAAAACCTCGATATAATGGCATTCGATGAAATACAGTAAAACCTTGATATAATGTCCCTCGTTTATATACAGTAAAACCTCGATATAATGTCCCTCGTGTATATACAGTAAAACCTCTATATAATTTCCCTCGTTTATATACAGTAAAACCTTGATATAATGTCCCTCGTTTATATACAGTAAAACCTCGATATAATGTCCATCGTTTATATACCGTAAAACCTCGATATAATGTCCCTCGTTTATATACAGTAAAACCTCGATATAATGTCCCTCGTTTATATACAGTAAAACCTTGATATTATGTCCATCGTTTATATACAGTAAAACCTCGATATAATGTCCATCGTTTATATTCAGTAAAACTTCGATATAATGTCCCTCGTTTATATACAGTAAAACATCGATATGTCCCTCGTTTATATACAGTAAAACCTCGATATAATGTCCCTCGTTTATATACAGTAAAACCTCGATATAATGTCCATCGTTTATATTCAGTAAAACCTCGATATAATGTCCCTCGTTTATATACAGTAAAACCTCGTTATAATGTCCATCGTTTATATTCAGTAAAACCTCGATATAATGTCCCTCGTTTATATACAGTAAAACATCGATATAATGTCCCTCGTTTATATACAGTAAAACCTTGATATAATGTCCGTAGTTTATATAAGTAAAACCTTGATATAATGTCCATCGTTTATATACAGTAAAACCTCGATATAATGGCATTCGATGAAATACAGTAAAACCTCGATATAATGTCCATCGTTTATATACAGCAAAACCTCGATATAATGTCCCTCGTTTATATTCAGTAAAACCTTGATATAATGTCCATCGTTTATATTCAGTAAAACCTTGATATAATGTCCATCGTTTATATTCAGTAAAACCTTGATATAATGTCTATCGTTTATATACAGTAAAACCTAGATATAATGTCCATCGTTTATATTCAGTAAAACCTTGATATAATGTCCCTCGTTTATATACAGTAAGACCTTGATATAATGTCCATCGTTCATACACAGTAAAACCTCGATATAATGTCCTTCGTTTATATACAGTAAAACCTAGATATAATGTCCCTCGTTTATATACAGTAAAACCTTGATATAATGTCCATCGTTCATACACAGTAAAACCTTGATATAATGTCCATCGTTTATACACAGTAAAACCTCGATATAATGTCCTTCGTTTATATACAGTAAAACCTCGATATAATGTCCCTCGTTTATATAAAGTAAAGCCAGAGGAACAAATCAATAGATTGATCTATTAATCCACGAGATTTCTGGAATACCACTTTCGAGAACTAATCGATCAGGATAAGGGGAAATAGTCGTGTAATAATAATAAATAGTGTTTAATTGCTAATGATAATGAAAATCTATTGATAAGAATATAATTAATATTGAATAGACATTGGCTAAAAGTGAGTACAATGTGTTAAATAGCATGAGAAATTCCTGGAGTCAGTGACGTATAGCTATGAGGACTTTCAGTTATTATGTAAGTGTATGAGCCAAAATTAGTCTAATTAAACAAAACCTCAATGCGTACTTATTGATTCCTCAAAACAAAACAAAAAAACCCACAGAAATGATCCATTAATGTAGAAGACGCTATCATCAAACTCTATACTATCCCAAACTGTCATGGGATTTTATATATAATTACTTAGGTTTGTAAAACGTTATCAAGGAACATTGGAGTTTTAAAGTGTATCAAGACCTTTCCTGCCTACAGAGGTGTCAAAAACAAAACTATCGTTTTAGCTTTCCTGTTGTTCTGTAAGGAGTGATTCTACAAACTTGTCACTATCTGACAGAGTGTTTTAAAAGGTATTTCTATTCCAACTTCCAATTCTACTGGAGAGTTTGAACTTGACGCCTATATTTGATTTCTATACTTTTCGTAAATTTGTATTAATCTATAAAAACTTCAATGATCAGGCTCCTGGTTCTTTACAGCAATAGTTGTTCATTTATATCAGACAGGTCTCAACCTGGACTACTCATTCTTCGGAACAACATGTTGTAAGCGTAGATATACTTGTAGACCTCTCTATGGAGTAAGCTGAGGAGACAAGAAACGCTTAAACTCTCGGTGATATAGTGGTGCCTTAAAGCCTTCTCTCAATATTTCGTTTGAAATGGTATCTAAGACTGGTTTTGGCATCGATTAGTTCGGATGTCTATAAGTTTACCACGCAAGCCGGAGTGTCTGTTAAATGTCGAAATTTTAGCTGAAGTCAGGAAATGTATGTTGTTCAAAGAAGCAACATTAACGAACTGTTAAAATAAATATTCGATCGAACATGTTTCCTGGTTATGAATTTTTGCATATGCTTTATCCAAGTTATGTTTCAATGTTTCCACAGACGGAAAGTAAAAAAGAAAACATTTCCTTACCATAATTACAAGTTTCCAAGGCCGCGTTCGTGTCATGGGTCAATCAAACATATTTTGGTGAACTTGGGATTATCCGATAACATAACAATTACAGTCTCTAATTCTACTTCAGAAATTGCAGGGAGTACCTGTTTCGCCCTGTATCCCAATTCATTAGTTTTGTGAACACCACAAAATCGTTTGGCTACGGAACTGCCTGTCCCTTTGGTTCCAATCGATCTCCCATGTCCATCCTCAGTCCATCTTGTTGCTGTTACCCGAGAAGTACCAGGTACATCTTTCTCAAACTTAGACAGGTTTGATTTGGTTCCATTGTTGCACATGATAAATATGTTGATTGTACATGTAAAATTAATATGGTCAACAGTCATCCATCTTGGATTTTGATCGTTCTAGCTTGTTCATTCACCATCATAATCTCATTGAAATACTGCATACTCCATTTTCTTGTGTGAAAAGATTCTATATTAGATGTGTTAGATGAACTTCGTATGACTGATGACTTCTTCGCTGTAAACTTAGTTCTAATTTGCAAACATAACATTTTCAATGAAACAGAAGAGAATAACCCTCCCGGAACATCTGGTCTTATTCTCGTATATTTTCAATGTTCACCGTGTAAATCATTTGTTCATTTTTACCCTGATTCAATATTGTAAGATCATGAATCTTCGTACGGGATTCATATTCGTTAATATTGATTGTACTCTAAATCCATTAACAGTGTTATTGGAGCAGAATTCATCCATGAAATTGAGCTCCTTTAAATATATGATTTCACTGTAACACTAACTCAAATTTTATACAGAATTGCTGTTTTCATAATTTCCTGCACAAACATGTGATAAGCGGAATCACATCCTATTTCTTTCTACATCCTATTTCTTTCTACAACTCACCGCATCTATTCCATTTTTTTTTCTTGTCAGAGGCTATCAATGTCATGAAATATAAACATCGTATTTTGATTAAGTTAGGCTTGGCACAGCATCATATTAATAAATATCCTGTGATTTTCAGCAACAAAGAACTTTGATATAGAAATTCCCAAAGGCACACATTTCACGTTTCTAAAACATAGCAGTGGCAATCTAGGGAGTGCACAGGTCAGTGCTAAAAAAAATCCAGATCATTGTGTGTATTCGTTGTAAGCAAGATATTGACTTGGTGATATTGGAACCACTGTTAGGGATAAAAAATATCTATGTTCATGGTTTCTATCTGATAAAATAGAGCCTGTATATCAGAGTTTTTTCCCCAATTATGTTCGCTAGCTTTAGACCTGACCTCTAAGTACAGCATATATTGACCATGGAATATTTGATACCTGGTAAGTGTAGCATGTGTGTTTTTTACCAGATGTATATCTAGTCCTAAGAGTTCGGACTATCTGTTCCATTTGTGTCTCTGTCTCCGTCGATTAATATTCCTCCCTTTATAAAGCCACGAAATTTCAGCGGTGAGCTAATCGATCGACATGTAGCAGTGTTTTGAATGGTTTACAACAAAGTTAAAGTTACTTATATACATTGATTGCAACTTTTATCTACTTAATTGCATATTTCCCAAAGGAATGCTGAAAACTACACGTTTCCATTCATTTTTCCCCAACAATTTTACTTTCCAGGATGTTAAACTGAGAATTTATTTGTAGGTTTAGAATGACAACTTAAGCGAGATTCCGTAAAGTGGCTTCCATTGTAAATATTAGATTAGTCTGAATAGAAAGGTGTGGACAGAATGTATGACATCAATCTGTATAAATGTTTGTCAAACATCAAAGTGAATTTGCAACAGTGTACTAGTATTTATGGGGATCGCAGAGCAAGAAGAAATGACCAAAATCAAAATTTTGCGGGTTTTTTTCTCCCAAAAAGATATTGAAAAAATTGGGGCCGGTAGCAAAAAAAAGTAGTCAGGAAACCAGAATCACAGATACTGTATTTTTGGCTAACATGATTATTGCATTGATCTGGCAGTATGCCTATACCTGGTATTAAGCTCAATTGTAATACATGCTTCTTCATTGCCCACTAATAACCCTTCCACTTGGTTTAGGTCAGATGTGGACTCTCTGGGTTTCTTGAAGGATACATACTTAAGTATAACTGCCTTGTTATATGTCCTTTACGTGTGATAGTTAACCTGAAGTTACTTAGTCCTGTTTCTACATCCTTATATTGACAGGTACTCTTATTTCATTTTCTCTCTCACAGCCCTCAATCATTTATTTTTTGTGTTCATGACTGAGTTTACTTTGAGTCTAGCTAATCCTTAGCGTGCTTTAATGAGTCATTTCCTTCTTCATGTGACTTAAAACCTAGCTCTAATGACCTTGAACCTTGTGACAACGTGTCATCTGTTTTCTGCCTCACTCAGCTGTGACAGTTTGTAGAGCTCCTCTCCATATTTCAGAGCATCCTCCACTCCTTCACAACAAAGTTTCCAGTGATCAGGCACTTGTTCTTCTCCATAGCATGCTCCAGCGATAGCTCCAGCCATGCTGGCGATTGTATCTGAATCACCGCCCAGAGATATTGCATATATCACTGTCTTCTCAAACAGGTTTCTGTCCTGTAGATAAAAAAATGATAAATTTTCAACCAGTCATAATGTGACAAAACCATTCTAAAACAAGTTTCTGTCTTTTTGTCAAACAGTTTTAACCTTCAGCTGGTTTAAAACAAGTTTCTGTCTTTTGTCAAACAGTTTTAACCTTCAGCTGTTTTAAAACAAGTTTCTGTTCTGTACAGCATAAAATGATAAAGCTTTGACCAATCTCAAACAACTTTCTGTTCTGTGGGCCATAAAGTTATAAAACTTCAACCATCCTCAAAAAGGTTTCTGTCTTTTATGTCATAAAACAAACAGTTATCTGACTCTAAAGACTTATATATGAAAATAGGTCTAACATGAATTGCTCAACTACTCTACAGCTTACAAAGAAGACATTGTTGGTTCATAAAAACATTTTCTGCAAACCTGAAATCATATTCTTAATACATGCTACTACACAAATGCCATTACTCCAAACCTATTGCTTGTTGAAAAAGAAATTTTAAGCTCTAAACTCAATTAACCCAAAAGATCTTTAACATAGGTCAAGGTCAATTATTTGAACAAATCAGTAGCCCTTATATCACCACTATCAACTGCCTGTACCTTTTACTATTGAGAAGAATCTGTTATACGATTTTGACACATTTGACCCCTGTGACCTTTAAAAAGAGAAAATGCCAATCATATGAACAAAATTAGTAACCCTGCATCCCAGCATGCCACAGGCCCAATATAAGCACCCTAAGCCTTTCGGTACAGCTCAACTACTTCGGGCCAGGTGAGCTAAAAATCATGACAAAAAAAACATGACCAAATATTTTTGACATAGAAACATTTGAAGAAAAAAAAAAAAAACCATAATGCTTCATTTCATGATTTGCCTGAAAAATACATCCTTTTCAATTCAATCTTTTGGTAAAACTGCCGAAATTGAATCCTAAAGACAAACAGGCAAAAATGTAAATGCACAATTATCTATCTAAAATCCTAACGTCACAATGATGTGATTAAATGATACAAAGAAGTATATACGTCTCTGGCTGATTAAGATGAAGCTTAGTTTATGACCAACACATTCTGAACATCACTGAAATCTCCTTGAAAACTACCTCAGCACTTAAGATACTCCCAGAATCCATTACATATCATATGTAAATTTGTTCTCAAGAATCCTTGGTTTAAACATTTTACATCTCACCTCTAAATGTGGAATTTCTTTAGCTGAGTAGAGGAAGGCGAAGATAGCAGCAGGAACGGACTCTACAGCTGATATCTCTGTTCCTAAAGGGTAAAAAGAAGAAAAATGGACAGAACTAACCTCTCCTTATCCTTTGATAAAATTACAAGCCAAAAATTGATAATAATAATACACAATGTAGGTATATATGTTTAAGGTTACATGTTTGAAAACATTAAGATGGGTCAGTTGGATTTTTTTCTTTTTCTTTCAAAACATTATTTATATAGGGGGCTGGTCAAGCCTTTAACTCAGTTACCCAGGATTATCACAAAGCCAACACAAACATTGCCCTGAAATAAGCCCAAGCTCCCTCCTCCTTGAACTTCAAGTCTGAGCCAATGTTCTGTTGTATGTATTACAAGTTGAAGAGTTTAATATCAACTTTCAATCATCACCATAGTGTTGAAACTGGATACAATGCCTTACAGTAAGATATCATAATACACTAAGAAAAAGATCAATGGACATTTTGATTGTAAGCTTTTTGTTTGTAGTTTTACCTAAATCTTTATTGATTTCATCAGCGGTAGGTGGAGTGTCTTGTTTCAGAAATGTCCTGATCTTTTCCAATTTATCACAGTATGGGTGTTCTGATGCCGTGCTCCTGTAAAAGCAAAGTCAAAAACAGTGATATATTCATTCAAGAAACTAGATATATTGGAGTGACACAGATACCTCCCACTGTGCAGCTTTTTACTGTTATTTGCTTTAAAAAGATGTATTCCTCACTTTCCAGACTGTGTCAGGTATTGGATGACCAATGCTCAGTGCTGAGGCAGATAACAAACTGATTTGGTACAAACAGATAAAATTGATGAAGTAAAATAATTGGTGACAGGTACCGCTTGTTTGCTGAAAGAAATTTTACAGGAATTGACCAATTGTAATGTCTGAAATTCAATGTGTGGTGGAGTCAATGTTTCAAAAATTGAAAATAATGCAATTGATGGAATTGGAATTATTGAACTGAGATATAACAAGATTGCCCAAAGAGAGTTCTATTACAGTTAATTTGAGGTAAATCCAATCAGTTGCACCCCTTGTGTCTTAACATTAACTTGGACAAATGCGATCTTTACCTCCATTGACTTGGATCATAACTTTATTCTGTGTGCATAAAAAATCACATAAATAGCTATAGCTATTCATTTATTACTGATTCAGTTGAGTGGCCAAATGATACAAAAGTTGTGTATCTTTAATAAGTCATTAAATTTTTTTTCATCTTCTAGTATAATAAAATATGGAGGATTTGTGTCCTGTAACCAGGTACGACCAGTATCTTCTCATATTACAACTACAAAAACTAAATTTCAGTTTAATGTATGGAGAACTTCTGGAAAGTATATGAAGCTCATTGGAAATAAAATAAAACACTAGTAATGGAACTAAATCATTATCATCTTGGCATGCATCTTTTCATCACAAAACAATAATCCATGTTCATATCCATATTTCAATCCAACAGTGAGAACTTTAGAAGAGAATGAGAAAATTACGTTGACAAGAACCAAATTTCGACTTGAAACCATTAATCTTCTCATAATAGAAAAAAAAACCTGCAAAATGCATTGATAATATTCTCATCCACCCAACATGTTTTTCTGATCTCAAACTATTAGGTTGATAATTTAAGGAGCTTGTGATATCTTGTACACAAGCCTTTTTATTTCAAAAGTGTTCAAGTCTCCTTTGACCTTTAACCTTGACCCATGGCCACCAAAATTCAATCAGTGGTTCATGACATTACAAGCAAAGACAAAGTATATACTACATGTTTATACCCATCCATCCACCTCTTACTTAAGTGAGGGTATAAGTGATTGTAAGTATCAAATTTCATCTCAACATCTCAATAATAACAGAGTAATGAATGAAAATGAAATGAGGACAGAATAACAACTAAGGACATCAGTGCTGGTATATGACCTCGTCATTTCATGACATGGGACATACAATGTGAAAATCTTTTAAAAGTCATGACATTCCAATTTGATGTTTTAACCACTTATCATAGTGATCACCATGATGACTTGATGCTACCCTTTGAAAATTATCAAGTATCAAATTGTTCATAAATTACATATCTAATTACATTTAAATTCTGTAGTGATTGACATATTGTGAGTGCAAGAATTTACTGAATTAAACAAACGATGCTGAAGCTGGATTTGGTACTAATTTTAGATATTGGTATGACTTGGAGTCTAATTCAAATACTTTGATCTCTTAACATCTTTTTCTAATTGTAATGAAAATACTAATTTAAGAAATAGAACATCATGAACACCTTTCTTCTCCTCTGTCCTGAGCAACAGATTCATTTTTCTCTCTCGTTAATTTCTCAGTTTCTGTCTCCATAAGTTTCATCTGCTTAATCAGGTCATCAAGAAATTTATCAGTATCCACATGACCTTCTACTCTCAGTGCTAAGTAGACAGCATAAGCCTGAAGGACTGCCCCCTGTATGGCCTGATAATGGGAATGTGTGATGCTGGTGATGTTCTGGGCCAATTCCTACCACAAACAATACAAATTAATTAAATCACAGATTCAAGTGATGATAAAGGTAAAAGACAATATTAACAGCATCATGATCATTAGGCATATCAGATGGTACCTATACAGTTATTTTGAATTTACAGTTAGAGAATCTAAAATATGTCAAATATGTGTACTTTATAAATAACAATTACAATAAGGACTCTTGTATTTTCAATGCAAAAAACACATTTCATGTAACACATTAAATCAAGAGTCTAGCAACACAACCGTTGACAAATCAGAGTAGAGATAACTTGACAGTTAGACGCACATTATTGTACTTCTACGTCAAGACACTTGTACGGTGATTATTATCTGATGTTATCCTGTTACAAGGCACCAGTCATAAGTTTCTTCTCATGTAAACCTATAATATCATTGGAGTAAAAATGAACCAAGGCCAATAACTCTTTCAAAAGACTTCATGCCATTTAAGTGTATATACCCGTAGTCTGTGGAAGTCATTGTCTTTATATCCGAACAAACCAGCCGGAGCTATTCTCATGGCTCCCCCGTTGCCATAGGAACCTTTCCCATCAAACTGTTCCTTTGCTGGTCCAAAAGGATCCTTATATTCAGTATCATGTAGTTTCTGGAAAACTACTACCACTGATCCACCATACCCTCTATAAGGATCCTTTAAATATTCCTTGGAAAATCTGAAATTTCCATACAAATGTGAAATAAAACGTTCCACTTACAGTATTAATGCCTCAATTCTGAAAACACACCTCCGAGCATATTGATTGTTTTATTATAAGACAACAAAATAGTATTTGTTTGTAATTTCACTGCAGAAGAATTTATTTCCTTGAATTTAGGTCATTGGCTTCTTGCCAGGTATACATGGTATATTTCAAGCAATTTTAAAAATATAACTGCTCCTTGTAAAAACTGAATTGGTTGACAATATTTAAAAATTTTTCTGTCTTTTCCATCCATGTGTACATCAGTCACACAGAAATTAAAAGGGACAATTAAACCAATTGGCAATCACTACATATCTATGGTATTCTAAACATCAGATATTGGGGGATTTTCATAGAAAATGTTGAGGTGAAAGTTTGTCGAATTTCTTACAATTTCAATTCAAAACTGGATTAAAACACATAGTTTCTATTTTTTTCTGTTAAATAGATTGAGATTAAAGTGCGAAACAAGTTACAAAACAAAAACAAGAAAAAGTATATCCTTATCAAACTAAGGCTAATTTTTACATCAAATAACTTTCAAATAGAACAAAACCAAAATAAGCATATAAGCGGTGCATGTAGAAAGGTATTGACAAAAAATCTAGCAATATTAAACTTATTGCTATCAATTACCTGCATGCCATATCCTTGGCATTGAATCCTTTTTGTTCGATAAGAGACTTTGCCACACTTCGTGCCATGGCCGTGTCGTCTGTGAACTCCCATATTTTCCCTTTCAATATCTCCCCTTCTCCTTTACTTCTTTTTTCTGCCACTAACAACAATGTAGTTAATAGCATTTGTATCTCAAAATTATTTGATAATCAACTGAATAAAAAAAATACTTACCCTCACACCTAAGCCTGTATTAACTGAAGATTCAAACATTATGCAAAGGGCTCTTTTCTCTCATAGTTAACAAACACCAGCAAAAATTTGTTTTCATGTATAAGTTCATCATTTTTTTAATGAATTTCCCATTGGTTGATTTGCAGTGTCTGGCTAGAAACTGAAGGGTCGCTAGTTCTAACCCCAACGGTGGGAAAGTGTTTTCATTACTCATTCCTAGTACAATTTGAATAATAGAAATTTTCGTTGAGTTAAATCACAGGCACCTGTATCTGAAATGTAAACCACTCATGTAAAATCCACTCCACTTTGTATAATGCACAGTAGACGGAAATATTAATTTACAACTAACTTTTGCCAATAATATCAAGTTGTAAATACATTAGAAGCTTTAAATCAGCTATACATATGTTAGAAAACAATAGGAAATCGATATCGTGAGGAGTATTTACACATATGATAAGCATTGTAACCATCTGTTAATAACTACAACAAGCTACTTTCGTTTCCACAACAGTGGTGTCAGTCCTGTTTCGTCAGCTTATATATAATGAGCAAGTTAGCATGGTAATACCTTCACGAATCTGATTATCTACGCCGAGTATTTTTGTGATGTCAATCGAATTGGCCCATAGAGTCTCAAATTCTGACCCGATACAGTCTCCAATAGCAGCACCCGCAAGACAACCCCGGAACCGAGAGAGAATGCTACGAGCCTGTGCCATTTTTATTTAAAAAAGGGGAGCAACTCGTGTGTGTATGTGTGTTTTCCTTTTTTACGGCAGATGTACCACAAGCTCTTGAAAACAATCTTTTTTTTTCAAAATTATTATGATTAAAAAATATCATTCAGTGTTTGAATATTTAACCGTAGTGCTAAAGTTTAAGATATTTTATTTTCATTTCTTTCTATACTAAAGTGTTTTTGGAAAACCACGAACTGCGTGTCTGTAGCTTGTTTCAATTTTAGTATCGCGGATTTGTTTCGGCTACTCCGTGAACAGTAAGGCGTTGCTCATTGTATTAGCCGCCGACTACCTCCCTGAACAACATACGGGAAACCCGTTGGATGTCACACAGAGCAATAGAGTAAACTTAAGTGTCTTTCCGATGCTTTTTTAAGTTTGGAAAGGAAGATGACCTGCGCATGTATAAGAAAACCAGAAAGCATGTTCAAATACTGTTAAGTTAAGTTAAGTTAAGTTTATTCCGGTGCAGGACTGTTGTAGTCCTCTATACCAGGCTCCATAACAAAAAAAAACTGTAACTTCTGAGTATAAAATAAAGCATTCAAAATAAAATTTACAGTTCTGTTTTCCATATATAAATTATGTTATTTCGGCTTTGTAGTTATATACTAGTTCTTGATTATTCCAGTCATTATCTATGGCGTTTTTGAAAGCATTTATACTGGGTGCGGATACTATTGATTCTGGTAGACTGTTCCATATCTTGACAGTTCTTATATAGAAATTGTTTTTCCGTAATGTGCATGTTGCTCTCTTGGGATATATCTTCATTGAGTTTCCTCTGCAACTATGTCTTTGTGATGCTTCCTCCCATAATGATAAGGCATTGCAGCATTCCTTGTTGTATACACCGTTTACTATATTGCTCAATCATATCTCCCCTTACCCTCCTTACCCTCTTTGCAAAAAAGCAAGGTCTAATTTTTTCAACAAGAAAATTGAAGAAAATAGAAACAACCCAAAGGAATTGTGGAGACAATTCAAACAAATGGGCTATCAATAAAATACCAAATCAGGTTCTAGTATAGTTCTGAAAACAAATGAAAAAAATTGCCACGATAATGTGGAAATAGCCAACCATTTCAATAATTACTTTTCAAATGTTGCTGCCAATTTAGTTAAGACGTTACCCCAAGGAAAGGGGAAATATGTTGCTTCGTCAGATACAGTAAAAAACTTCTATAGATCCAAAAGTTGTAACAAATTTAATTTAAAGCATGTGGATGAAAACTTTGTTTATAAAGAGCTCTGTAAATTGAATACATCTAAATATACGGGACTTGATTCTTTGCTAGCTAGATTTCTCAGAGATGCTGCACCAATTATTAAAATTCACCTCACTTTTCTTATTAATATGTCAATATCAGAGGGTATTGTTCCATATGATTTAAAAGTAGCCAAAGTCAAACCACTTTTCAAGAAAAAGGATAGACTTAATGCCGAAAACTAAAGACCTGTTAGTATTTGAATAAAACATATTTTATTGCAAAAATTATTACAACAGGATTAGGTACAAGTTATTATAACTTATGAAACACCCTTTCCTCAATATATAACAAAATATAGTTAGACAACGCAATAGCAATATGACAACAAATACAGTAACTACATATTTTAGGAGAGAGAGAGAGAGAGAGAGAGAGAGAGAGAGAGGGGGGGGGGGGGGGGGGGGGGGGGGTTAGTTTAGGCGGATGACGTCAAGTGAACATATTACTAGATTTAATAAAGTTTTGGACATTCAAAAAATTTTCGAGTTTGTTTCAAAAGAATGATCATTATTACCATACAATATCAAATCTAAATCACAATGTATGGGTAAATTTAAATCATCTAAATGTTACCTGTTATTATTCTAAGTGTAGTATCTAAAATCCTCGAACGCGCTGTGTATAGCCAGTTAGAGAAACTTTCTTGGTCAGAAATAACTTACTTTATGAACTTCAGTCCGGTTTCAGAAGCAAATATATTCTACTGACACATGTTTAATACATATGTTAGACCACATCAAATCTCAATCTTCCCAAGGGTTTGTTTACAGGTATGGTATTGCTCGACTTGCCAAAAGCCTTTGATACAGTTGACCACAATATTTTATGTGATAAGCTCTCTGTTCTTGGAGTGGAATCCGAAAATGGTTTAGATCCTATCTCTCGGGACGGAAACAAATTGTAGATATTAATGGAGTAACATATGAGTCATGTAAGATAAAATGTGGGGTACCTCAGGGGAGTTTATAAGGTCCTCTTCTGTTCTTGATATTTGTCAATGAAATGCAAGTCAGCATTGATTCTAACTGCATGTTGATGTTGTATGCAGACAATTCTATTATACTTTTTTCCCATCTAAACCCAGCAGTAATAGCGCAAAAATGTCTTTGGTGTTAGAGTCCTGTCAAGAATGGTTAGTAGATAACAAGCTTTCTCTACATTTAGTAAGTATTATTGTTGGCCCTAAAAGAAAATTGGATAAGGCAACAAATATGAATTTTAAAATATTTTGCAATAATCATGACATTGAAGTTATGAAGTGAATAAAATATCTTGGTATAGACGTTAACGATAACCCATCGTGTGCTTGTGGACATTACTGTGAGGATGTTGGGCACTTTTTCCAAGAATGTAAGCTTTATGATAGGGTAAGAATATCATTTTTTCAAAGTATAAACATGTTGAATTTAGATCAAGTGAATTTACATCTATTTTTATTTGGAAATGAAAATCTGTCCCTAACCACCAATACATAAGTATTCAGACACGTGCAAATTTTTATCAAATCCAGCAACAGATTTTAAGTAAAATGTACTAAATGTTAAATATATTATGTTTGCCTTGTTAATGATATCATGTAAATATTTATCATGTATTGTATTAGAGGAAAAGGCGGTCATAAGTTGAAATAACTTGTGCCTAATCCTCTGCTCAATTTTGGGGCAATAAATATGTTTAAATCAAAATCAAAAAATCAAATCGTTAACGATTTGCTATCAGGTGAAGAAATTGTAGTTTCCATTGGTAAAAAAGTAAATCAACGACTAAAATTTCTCTACAGAAACGACCGATGTCTATCGTATAGGTCGAGAAAAACCTCTATGTTCGGCATTGATTCTTTGTAATTTCGACTATGCCAGTGCTGGTTGGTATGAAGGTTTGTCAAAAAACTAAAATATGAATTAGCACAAAACAAAGTAATAAGATTTATTTTGAATGTTCAAAATAGGCACAGCATAAGATGCAGTGATTTTTTGCGTACAAACATATTAGACATTAATTATAGGGTTAGTCAAATCAGAATGAATCATATGTTTAATGTTTTCCATGAAAAGGCTCCAAACTGTATGTATATATCCTTTAACAAGAATCCATGTCTACAAAATACTCGATCCTCGGCATATAATTTCAGTCTCCCATCAGTACAAGATAAAGAATCTACAACATTCTACTATACAGGCGCAAAAGAATGGAAATCTCTTCCAGATTATATTAAAAGTATACCAAACAAGCTTAAGTTCAAAATCCAAGTGAAATGTCACTTTCAAAACAAAATGCAAAAGAAACATGATAGTTATTATGTATATTATTGATGGAAATACATTTGTAAATCCATTTTAAGGACCCCAATGGAAATAAGCGTTTCAACGCTTTTTTTTTGGGAAATCCTAGGATATATATACTTCTGTCTTTATTTATAAATATCACTAGCTAGTAGCAAACAACTTATTCATGATTGTGTACAACATGTTATATGTGCCATATATTCATATATTTTGTATACAAATCTGTACATCTTTATCCTGAATAAATTTATTATTATTATTATTATTATTATTATTATTCATTTATATACCTACACACATCAGTTATACACAATGATGATCTGGTGGAACATTTTTGACAATTTTTCATTTGTAAATAAATGAATAAAACCGTGTCAGAAATTGTTTCTTTGTATGTATATTAATTTATTGATTTTTGAAAATTATTATTTTGTGCCCTTCCTGAGCGTCGAAATGATCTCGCTGTAGTCGCTACAATGCAATCATGAATAGTGAAATAGGAAAGGTCTATATATAACTAGTTAATTAATTAGATAGCTCGCACTGTTACTTGGACCGCAGAAAATTCCTTGTTCTGTAAAATTGAATGTTGAAAAATTTGAATACGAAACTAAACTTGACAACTCATTTAACCGGAAATGAGACAAAACAAGTTCATTACCTCATCGGATAAGACTACGCTGAATAAATAATTAGGTCGCTAAGGGTATTTCGAATTTTCCTCGTTGAATTCGTAAAGTTGAAACAAAAACGCTGTGATAAAGTAAACTTTTTGTATCATCTTCAATACAACCATAAGTAACGTTAATTGTTTTTATCTGTACAAATTTTGTCTTCGCTTTATGATATTACTCCGCAGTCATAATTGAGAGTGATTCGGTCGCCGGTTTAGGGGCAGTGTCTGAGAGGTTCAATAATCCAAAAAGCGCAATTACTAGCAAATACTGCGAAAATGGACGAAGTATATGACGTTATCGTATTAGGGACAGGTCTGAAGGTAATTTTATATACGATAAATTTATGTTTTAAAGATCGTTCTTGATTTACAATGCGCAGACCTTTTCTTTCATTATCATGAACTTCCCACAGAAAATCGATTTTTATCAACAGTAGTAATTTCTGCATATTTAGTGTTTTATAAACACCAAATAATGATTCTATTGCACCATTTTCTCCTTAACAATTATTGAATGATTATAACCTCATGACGACAGTATACCACCATTACATCTTAAAATGTTGATGCTGATGGTGATGATAGTCATGATTGTAGTCCCCACTAGTTTAACCATTAGCGCAATAGGCAGACAGCTGTATCCATAATCCTGCTTACCCGTATTGTGATATGCTGTAAGCCTGTATACATTATAAACACGTGAGCTCTGCCCTTTAATCAAGGATTTAATAGCAATAAAATAGTATATATGCATATGTTTACAAGGACAGATGATTTATAATATTCGTTAATGTTAAAAAAAGAGATTTTTTGTTGAAATTTTTATTGTACTTAACAGTTAGCAACGGACTTATATAACAGGTATTTGCCACAGTTTCCTCTTGTCCCAAAAGCAGATGATCAACATGTTGATTAAAATGTATTTGGTGTGGATTATCATGTTATTTTGAGGTGCAGACAAAATCAATTGCTATGACGTAACGCCTTTACACATGCTGTCTCTGTGTCCTCATAAGCTGACATTGTTCATTAATTAAGCATTATTATTGCACATCTCAGTTAAATAGAAAATACCACAAATCCATGGTTTAAAAATCCAACCACAAGATTTTAAAATATGATCATATCTTAGAATGGAAAAGTATAAGATAAGTGCTGCATCGCAAGAAAATATTTATGCTTAAAATTCTGATTGTATAAAATCAGTTTTATACTACTGGTTTGAAAGTAAAGAAAAACATATTTTCTGTTCTTTCACAGAGTTGCTATTTAAATAAAACTAATTTAGAACATTCTTGTTGAATAAAAAAAGAAAACAATTTCACAAAATTTTGTCTGAAAATATGCAAGATTTCGCTTTTCATCAAGAAGTTTGACATTAATATGAATATTTATAAAGGTTTGCAGTAAACACGAACGTATGAGGGCACATGATGGGAAAATAGAATTGATGTAGATTTCTTACCAAAGTAATAACATTAGTTGTGAATCTGGTTAGGTAAATGTAGGTATGTAGAGGATAATGATTGATTCCAGCACAAATGACAATATACTTTTCTAAATTGTCTGATTAAAACTGGGATTAATAACAAGTCTATTTTAGGGGAGGTCTTATTATTTTGCATATTTTTTGGTGGAGAATGTCCAGATATTTTAAAATGTTGTTTAATCACTGAGAGGCATTCCAATTAAAAGATTAGAAAAAATATTTTGTCATGATTATTGTCAGAAATATTGAGGTTTTCAATGTAGATCGCATGGGTTGCTTTAGATACATACACTGGTATTGTATCTGAAATTAAACTTTTTGCTAAAACATTAACATTTTTATGTAAAGATTATACTAAAGATTATACTGGCTTTGTGACCCCATTTGCCACTTATTTTTATATTAATTAGTTGTTGTCAACTATCACTTGTACAAAGCAACCTGTTGTTCAGGTTCTTTACCTATATTATTCTTAATTGTGATGTAATTTGGTTGGAATGAATTCAAACAGGCAATACCGGTATATGTATGGATAATTAATTAAAAGTGAAAGTCATGATATTTGGTCTGGATGTTATTTCTCTGGCACACAAGAAACTATTGTCATTGGATGTCACAGTAAAAAGAACTGAACCAGGTGGACAAATATTCAATCTTTCATAGTAGAGTTTATTTTTAAAACATGGTCCTCTCCAACTAAAACAAACATGGTATCTTGAAATCTTGTTCATTTTAAACTGTTGGATTATAGGCTATGTATACTGAACCATTTTTACTCATTTATGGAAAGGCTTTTCTGTCTCAATTAGAGATGAAAACTGATCAACTTAAAGATAATTTATAGGAGTTTGGAAATTGTCTGTATTATAAGATAAATATGTTAGGAAAGGGGCCAATATATCCATTGCCATAGAGCCCCCAGTAAATAACAGGCACTTGCAGTGGTTTCTTTGTATCTTACAGCCTTTATCAAACATGAATTTATATTTTTTCATAAACTGTATGTAGTCTTTGAGGGAAAGAAATATTGGAACAGTCATGTGTCAGATAATTCAAGTACTTTCCCTAGATACAATAATTGTAATGCACAGCAAACCAAAATCGTTGTGTGCACATTTTGCCTACATTGTCTGTTCATCGTGCATACACTGTCCGCAAAAATGTGTGGCACAGTATCTAGTGTACAACTGTGTGTGATAGGATCACGCATATTGTGCAGTGTAGTAAAAATGGTTGATTAATATAACAGATAGAAAATTAATCAGAAAATTCATGTGACCATAACTTGTTGATATATTAGGGAATGAGTAAACCAGATTCCATACTTATTCATAGGTTATTTCTAAATTTATATGAACCATGATAGAATCGCACATCTGTGCGATAGAATGGCACATACCATGCATACAGATGTGCAACTGCAAATTTTGTCAGGTTTTCCTATTTTGCATCATCATGCACACATTGTTTAACATTGTGTAATCCTACAATTTTATCAGTGTAGTTGACAGATATTTGGTTATAAAGTATCTATTTTCTTAAACAATTTAACAGACAGTGTATATCATACAAATACCATATACTTCATATTAGAATCATATCAAACATTAAAACAAAATATGGGTCATATCATGGAAACTTTGCTGATATGTTTTTTGCAACATCAGTATATTCTCTATATATGGCCAAAGATTCTCCACTGCATCAGAAGTTAATATGCCTTTATAGGAAATGAACGCTTTATATATTACTGGTGAATCACATTCAAGATTGAAGTCTTCACATAATGTGTAACTTGTGCATGTTTCAGACAGGCTTTGGGATAAGTTACAAATGATAGTTGCTGGACACATGATGCTCTTTTCTTTGATATAGGACTATTAAAGACTACTCAGAAATGTACACAGACTTTGTATGCACCATGCTCAGAATATGCACATATGCCTGATATTTTATGAAGTGACAGGTGATGAAAATTTAGGAAATTGAATAATTAGCACCTAAAAGTGGTAGTACACCTTACCATCTGTATTGCAACATTAAGCAATTTCAATTTTCCTTTATTGCCTTAGTTGTCTTGAATTTCAACACTTCAAGCAACATTTCAACACTAGGACAAAGCAACTTTACAATGCAGTGTAATTCATTTTTGGTTCTACACTATCGAATTCTAAATTTGTATTGAATTAGTGTTAATTTATATGTGTGTCTTTTTCCCCCACAAAGGAATGCATCCTCAGTGGATTGATGTCCAGAGATTCGAAAAAGGTGCTGCACATGGACAGGAACAAATATTATGGAGGTGAAAGTGCGTCTCTGACACCTATTAACCAGCTGTTTGAACACTTCAATATGCCTGCACCAGCTGATGACAAGTATGGTCGACCACGGGACTGGAATGTTGACCTTATCCCAAAGTTTCTTATGGCAAATGGTTAGTATGTAAATGTTGGCCCATTCTGAAATGTTGCCAAACAGATAGTACTTAACAGGATAATGGAACAAAAATGAGAATTTCCCCACTTTTCCATTAACACCATCAAAGTAATTTCCAGTATAAGAGAATCTCTCTAAAACTTGACTCTTTGTTATCTTGACATGAGTTCTTTGCATTCTTGCCAGATGTATTAGTCCCTGTACTCTACTGAATAAAGAATCATTTGAAATGATCTATTCACTGTTTATTTTGAATAGGAAAGCTTGTCCAGCTGCTGGTGTATACTGGTGTAACCAGATATCTGGAGTTCAAAAGCTTGGATGGCAGTTACGTTAGGAAGAATGATGGCAAGCTAGCCAAAGTACCTGCTGATGAGAGAGAGGCTCTGGCTTCTTGTAAGTTTGTCATATTCAGTTCACCTGGTCCGAAACGTGGTGTCTAGCATCCTTCGCCAGGCATCTGTCAACTTTTTAGATCTTCTGACCCAAAGGGTCAGGATGACCTATAGCCATTGGTATATGAATGGCTATTGCCTAAATTTGATCTGAAGCATTCTACGATGAAGGGAATCCATCTTGTATAAACATTACATCTGATGTCAGAGGCGGAAAGGGCAGGGTCCATTAGGGGAAATCAAGTACATTCTTTAAAATCCTAATGCTTTTGTAGTAATGAATGGATATTGCTAAAATTTGGTCTGAAGCATTCTTTAGTGACGGGGAATCAATTGAGTATAAAAAGTGGACTCTGACCCCCAAGGGTAGGAGGGATCGGGCCTAGTAAGGGAAATCAAGCTAATTCCTTTTGACTCCTACTTCTCTGTAGAAATGATTAGATATCACCCAGATTTTAGTTTCAAGTGTCCTTGGATGAAGGGGAACAAAGTTTGTATAAAAATTGGTTCTCAGCCCCCAGGTTCCTTGGGGATGGGGACTAAAAGGGGAAATTTTGCAATAGACATTGCCCAAATTTGGTTGGAAGTATTCTTGGGTGAAGGGGATTCCATTCTTTATAAACAGCACATCCTGGCCCCATCAGGTGAGAGGATTAGAAAATGTAAGTTTTCAAAAATCTTTTGTTTGGTCTGGAGCAATTTTTATGAATAATGAATCTGACTTTTGTTTGACTACAAGACCGGGACCCAATAGGGAAATTATATCAGAAATCATTTGTCATAATTGTAATTCTTTATCAAATGGCTGAATAACTAAATTAGCCAGTTGAGTAATGCAGGCCCCTTTGGCCTCCTGTTATCCTTACATATATGTTGATATTACAGCAGCCTATGTTTTATTGACTTGGGAAAATAAAGTAGGATTTTCAAAAAAAATTGGACAATTATTTTTGAATTTAAATTCTATTGGAAATATAACATTAATTTTGACTGGGGGAAACAGCTTGTTTTGGCTGTAAAATCAGGCAAAAAAATTCACTGATCAGGACAGACCTGTTTTGTAAATTCGTGTTTTCAACTATGGTAACCACTACTGGCACAATGAGTATTTTTAATAATTTGGAACCCAAATTACGAAAAACCTTCCATATACATTTTGGGTTTTCGAAAACAGGCCAGCCTATCAGTTAACAAAATTCTTATTGTAGACCTATGTTTTAAGTACCTGGTTTTGTCTGTTGACCTAAAATATTCCAAGTAATTTTTTGTGCTCCTAAATTACGACTATATTTTCAGTACTACAACTCTGTCATGTAAGTGTGCTTAGGTCTAATGTCCTTTTCATAATCAGATGAAATATACTATTACTTGAGAGTTCCACAAGTAAAAATGAAGATCATGAATTCAGCCACTAACTTAAATGAATCAACTGGTCAGGTATTGTAGTACATGTGATGTGAAAGAGTTGTGTAATATGACAGACCTTGACAATATTGTAGAAGGCAAACACTTCTCATGTGATCGTGGTTTTGTGATTTCCTTAACTGGCAGTGAATTATGCTATTTTAAATACCACATGTCATTCTATAAAAAGAAACCTGAGCACATCAAACTGTTTTGATACATTGAAATAGTGGAAAACTCTATCGAAGGATCAAGATTCAGCTATATTCAACTATACATGCATGTATATCTCTGGATATGTGTTTGTGGTTAGAGCACACTGTTAATCTTAACTTTTTGATATAAAACAAATTATGATTGTACAGGTTTAAAAGAGTGCTATGATTATGGTTTGTCAGGTTTGGAGATTTACATACAATGATACGTTTATTCAGTTCCATACAATTGTGAGTGTGTCAACAAACATTAATAAAAATAAGAATATGGATATTCGTGACAGAATTATTATTATCTGTCAGGATGGGTTTGTTTGGAGAGACTGGTCATGTCATAGTTACCCCATTTCCCACCCCTGCAAGTATTGTGATACAAGTTCAGTTCGATTGGAACTTGAAATTGATGACTTTAATTGTTGCTGAGAACATTTATTGAAATGTGACAAATTAAGTAATTTTCTTCAAGATTTCTGAATTTGTTGTAAGTTTGATTCTGATATGTTTTTATATGTGTATATCCATCTGTGTGCAGAATGCTGTCAATAATACAATAATACATCTACGTTATGTAGCAATTCATTGTGGCATTTTTATGACACAAGTACAGATGTATCTGATCAGAATATTTAGCATGAAAATTATGTTGCCACAATAGCTTTCAGTACTTTTATTATTTTCTGTATGAGCATATTATTTATTTATTTTACATCATTGCAAATCTAGTTTTTCCGACTTCTATTATTCATTATTTATAGTCTTAAAAGAAGAGCACAAAGGGTTTTTGTTACTCTCTAAGGAAAACAAAGTGTCCATTTGGGGATTCGAACCCTGAATATCTAGTTGAAAGTTTGTTACCAGTGTGTCACATGACCACCTTCTGAAGTAAATTAACATTGGGGTAACCTGCACCAAGTAAGATATGGACTGGCAGTTACCCCAATGTAAATACTTTTCGATACATGTACAGACTTTGTAAATATTGTTTATTCAATTTTTATACAATAACTTGGCCAACAAGTTATTAATATCCTGTTTCATTATCATTATGCAACTGATCATTCCAAATATCTGTTTATTTGACACTGAAAAAATATTCCTTAGTAAAACTGCATTAATGAGCTGATGTGTAATTTCTGAAACCTTTAGATGCTTATGTGGTGTTATCTGATCAGTACAATATAAGTATAGTATGATATAACAGCTGGTTGAAAACTTTCAATCTCAACAATATGCTCATTAGGATTTTCATTTGGATTTGTGAAAAAATGATCTATGGATTGTATTTTTCTTAAAAGACATTATTCATTATTTTTTTCTTGATTTAAAACACCTTGTTTTCTTTTTTTTTATGCAGCACTAATGGGACTCTTTGAAAAGCGTCGTTTCAAGTCGATGCTTGTATATGCCCAGGAAATGGATCTAAGTGACAAAGAAAATGAAACGGATGACAGTCTTCAAAAACAAAAAAAGGATGAGAGTCTTCAAAAAAAAAAAAAGGAACTTGATCAGATGACTGCCATGGACTTTTATAAGCGTTTTAATGTTGACAGAAACACAATGGATTTTACTGGGCATGCCATTGCTCTTTATCTCAATGACGAGTAAGTGTATTTATATGTATATGAAAAGTGCCTTTCTTTTGTGGGTATCTAGTCATAATACAACTAAGAAACAGCATACAGAAACCAACATTTTAAGGAGCATTACTAATCTTATTTAAGGATCAAAGGAAATATAAAGTTGTCCTACAGTTTTTTTTGTTTGTTTAAATGTTAAACAATGAAATTTTCTGAAGGACATGGGATACAATATTTCATAATTTTATATTTTCTGCTAATATGATGCAGTGGATGCTATTTTTCACAAGACACCGCCCCTCCTCTCACTTAGGTGACTAACCTACGAGATAAGTCACCCATGATAACTTTGTGTTCTGATGTTTTTGGGGGATAAAGAGGTTGATGGACTTGTGGCATTACTGGTGACCTCCTGTCAATAATAAGCCACTATAATGTTAATACATATAGGTACATATCAGTCAAAGCGCCAGTTCAATTCCTTATTTTTCAAATGTTAATTACAATCAGATATGCATGTGATATGTGTAGATAAAAAGAAGTAAAAAGGTGAAACAATTGTAAAAAGTATCTGGTTTTTTGGAAGAAATTACTATTAGAACACTGATCATGTTGACTATAAAACATTTTTGCAAATTGTGTCAAGCATGGGATAAAACAACAAACAAAATAGTTAATATTTTTGTTGTCTTGTAAGTGGTGCAGTGTTGTAGTGAGCAGTTGCTACAGTTGACTTAGCAGATGTATTTGTAAACATGGAAAGTGGAAAAAATGTGGAACATGTACATGTGTTTAATAGTATAGAAGCAAAAATTTGCAAGTATTGAGGTTTTATGTTTTAATAACCATACCTAATCGAATTAGTTATGAACTGGTGGTCAGATATTAATATCATTATCTTATTATCAATGGGTAACGTGATGATCGCTGTTTTACAAATACCAAAGTATGAGCATATGTTTTACATATTCCACATCTCTTACTTATGGGCCCAACTAAAAATTTTACAAAATTTACAAATAGCTAATAAATGAAGTTTGTACTTTTCTTTAATATTTGAATTGTTACTCTAACTATATATATATGTAGAGTATAAGGAAAGTATGAAATATATATTAAATATAGCACAATGTGTTCAAAACTTCAACTTTCTAGAAATATATCTTACTGTAAGATGTATGCTAGAATATGCAAGTTATATGTCCTTTCAAGAATACAGTTTTAGGTTCACATGCATTAGTGAATTATTTATGTGGAAACTATCAGTCAAATTACTGAAACTTATGAAGAGGTGGATGATCCTGCAAAGATACAAAATGTTAATTATAAAAATAAAATCCTGACAGTTTTGACAATGATGCTCCGGAGTTGGATAGCTTCTATATATACATGTATGTGGTAATACCTGTCAAACAGATGTTGATTCCATCAGTATGCACTTGTAGTACTCATGTTACTTAATTATTTATTGATATCAAAAGATAATATATAGTTGTCATTCCAGTCAAACTGAAATCATTTTTACACAAAATGAAACGTCAACAGAAACTAGTTAATTTTCCCAAAAGTATCCAAACCAGGTCACCAGTGGGATCACAGTGTCACGTAACCTTGCTTCTATTTTAAATTTTGACTGAGTGACAGTGTCTAATTTGAAAGCCTGACATAGGTAATGGGGTACACTGGAAAGCCCACAAGTAAATGTTATGCTTCTTAAACAACTTCAGGAAATGTTTAATTTGTTTTAGTTAAAAACTTAAAAATCATGTCCTATGTCATTTAACAGACAGGAATATGGATGAGTAATCATTTTAGATAAAAAAGAAATGGTCATTTGTTAAGTTTACAGCTGTCCTGCTTAGAGTGATGGGTGTAATAAAATGTGATTTCACTTACTGCATCATCAGTCTTAATAGATATACCTGATAATTAAATTTTTGACTGTCTCATCCTTTTTTTGCAGGTATAATTCTTAATCCTTATTAATTGATTAATCAGTTGATTATGTTGCATCGCAACTCTTGACTGTACATACATTATAAATTGATAACATTTCATGTACATGATGTTAGTTTTCTAACTGAGGTTAACAAGACAATTTCCAGAAATTGAAATATTTCTATTTAAAAATTTGAAATATCCAGAATTTTGAGTTGAACTTTAAGAATGCTTGTATTAAACTATTACCTATGTTAGGCCAAGTTGAAAGTTAACTGGAAAACTGTCAGAAAGTATGAAACAAAAGATGGAAATAGCCATGGTATCCACAATTTCAAGATCAATTGGAAAGGAATGTAATAAAACAAGTGCCACTGTTACTTTCAGTACAAATATATCCAGCAAATTTTCTGTGTATTGTTAAACCTGAAGATATTGTATCAAAAAATCTTGAAAGATACATCCATGTATTAATATGTATAATTTTATATGTGTGCATTTTTAGTTATCTGGAAAGAAATTGCAAGGAATTGATCAAAAGAATTCAGCTGTACTCCCAGTCTCTGGCCAGATATGGCAAGTCTCCTTATTTGTACCCTCTCTATGGACTGGGAGAACTACCACAAGGATTTGCAAGGTGAGAAACAGTTGAACTACATGTGTGTGAAAACTAGATACTAGGAAAAAGGACCAAAAAAACTAAACATTGGCGTTGTGCTGATGATTTTTTAATGTCCAACTGCAAGTTCTTGATCATTTTCTAAAGGTCTGAATTTCTGTTTATAGCTCTGACGAGTCATCAAATTTTAATTAAATTCAGTATAACATCATCAAACTGAATAAGATCATGAAAAAAAACTGGGTGTTTTTAAAAGTAAAAATATCTTGACCTCTTCACATTACTAGCTCAATGTCATCTGACTGTGGGCTGTTATAATATTGCCATTTGTTTGCTGTCCTGTCATAAAGAATTCTTGTTATCGTTATTTCCTAAAAAGCATGTGATTGATCATTTTCACATTTCATCTTTGGGCTCCTTTTGGTCCCTAGTTGTGTATTTTTAGAGGATTAGATAAACAGAATGGCAGAAAGATAGCTTTCTTGGATTTAGACAGTTGTAATTACAGCTATTTATGGAGTTTAACTTTATTATGTTTGTTGTATTTATAAACGTTCCTATTGATGTTTACCATATCATGACAATTGTAAATGTTTATATTTTAGTTTATTATAAAAGCACTGAAAGTATTCCACTGAAATATGGTTGTGCTAAAAATGTTTGTGCTGCGTAAAAAAGTAACCAATGTGGAAATACAGCAATGCACTGCTTTGTGTAAAAAAGCCCTAACGATTAAGTGTTGGAATTGTATATTGTGCCTAATTAAGTATGTTATTACTATATATATATATATATAATTTACCTGTATTTACTGGTAGCTTTTAAAAGAACTAATTTATATTGGATTAAGACAATATGATGGTTGGCACAAAGATCCCTCTTGGATCTCCTGTTCTTTTTTAATTTTGATTTTAATGTACCACTTTTTTGGCCATCCAATTCTATCCTTGAGGATACTGAAAATTAGAATCCTTTCAGAATATTACGTAATGGCACTTTGTTGATTAATATTAAATATTAGAACTATTTAAACAAGTCGTTCGTATCATTCCCACATGATACTAAACCTGTAATGATAAGACACAATATATGTGTCCTTCAATTTGTTTTACCAACTGCCCTTGTTTCAGATTAAGTGCTATTTACGGTGGAACCTACATGCTTGACAAGACAGTTGATGAGATATTGTATGGGGACGATGGAAAGGTTGTAGGTGTCAAATCTGGGGAGGAGACAGTGAAGGCCAAGATGGTAATATGTGACCCATCATATGTACCAGATAAAGTCAAGAAGACTGGTAGAGTAAGTTGTTGTAATTCTTTCATAGATTTCTTCCAAATATTTTAAACTTCAATTTTCATACATTACATAATGACTATAATATCCTATTATTAAAGTCAGAAAGTTAAAATACTAATTACCATAAAGTCTTGATGATTTGGACACTTTTTCACAAAAACAATAATCTGATGTATAAAATACTGAAGAGCATTCAAATTTTTCTGTCTATATACCTTCCAGACTTTGTTCAGGTGTATCTACATTGTGATATGCTCAACTTTCTGGTCTTGTTATATGTGTCCTTAATGTAGATTAAAAGACAAACTACATTGTGAAAAGAATAATTAATATTGTTGGAAAAAAACATTTTATACACAGGTGGTGAGAGCTATTTGTATTCTGAAGAATAAGCTGGAAGGAGTAAACAACAGCCAGTCACTCCAGATTATTATTCCACAGAACCAGATTGGCAGGAAAAATGGTTAGTGGAAAAGCTGTACAATGTTGTTATATCACTATAGATTTCTACTGACAAATTAATCATCTTTCAAAATTCTTTATGATTTTTGTGACCCACTATCTGTCAGGTGATAAATGAAGCAACTGGACATGTATCTGGTAAATATACAACCGACCAAAGGCAATTAAATAATTACATGAAAATGCCTCAATTCAGAAGTTTGATGAGTGTAGTCTGTTATGGGTAATTGGTGAGCATTTCTGAATTTAAAAGTTTGATGAGTGTAGTCTATTACGGGTTATTGGTGAGCATTTCTGAATTTAAAAAGTTTGGACTTATAGTATGACTGCTTTCACATTATCAGGTTGAAATGTTTCAGGCTGCACAAAATTTCCCATCAACCATAAAAATGAACCAATAGAAATATATGTGTTGCTTTAACTCATACTGAGTATCTTGACATCTCCAAACATAGATGAATGCACTAACCCTGCTTGATACAGTGACTCTGAAAAAGTAATGATATATATATAGTCTGTTAATTTTTTACAGTGACTCTGAAAAAGTAATGATATATATATAGTCTGTTAATTTTTTAACCGAAATATATGGAGAAATTATTAACATTATTACATTTCAAGGGCCAATTCAACCAATTTTTTAGTTATGGGTCATATTGTGTTATGCAACTGTTGTAGCAAGGACTCGTTTTCAGAAAAAAACAATGACATATTGTGGTTGAAATGTGTAACTTCACAGGTCGTCATACTCACACATGCTATAAATCTTCTTGATTGTGTTTGCATTGAGTAATGGTGCCACTGTTTAAAGCTTCAGTGGTGAAACTGAACATTGACATTAAGCATATGTACATTTTTCCTGTAAATACAAATATTTGACTTGGCAAACATTATCTAGTCAAAAGTTGTATTTTTGCATGGGACAAATAGCTGTTTCTAATATTTTATAATGAATACATATACTTGGCCAGAGATGGTGGCGATACTTAATTTTTGTGGTTTTTCAAAAGTTGCATTTTCTCTGACACTTTTGTAGACAAATTTAACACTTTAAATCTACTTATGCTTATTTTAACAGGACCTATGAAATCATGGATTACAAGTGACTACAAAATAAATTGAAATAAATCCCCCACAAAAAGGAGTGATTTTATAGTACTTCACAGTTAACTTGAGTATGCAAGAGATATTTATCAGAGATGTCTGGTAAAAGATGCTCTTCATTTCTGCAACATTTACAATTTCTTGGTGTTATAATTAACTTTCACTCTGATTTTTAGTTTAAAATCGCCTGTTGCCCCTTTCCATTTCAAAACTATAAAAATTTCAAGATTATTTGTTGTCCACTTACACTTCCCCTCCTCTCCAAGATAGAGGCTCTTAAGATAACTTTAGTAGGTACATTCTATATGGTAGATAATACGATTTGTTACATAACCGATGGAATGTTGTGTTTCTTTCCTCCAATGTCCCTATCCAACTTGGCTCTTTTATTATCAGAGTATGGTTTTATATTTGTTGGTGACAATTTTACAGATATCTACATCTGCGTGCTGTCCAATCAGCAGTGTGTGACAGCAAAGGATTACTATCTAGGTATTGTCAGTACCACAGTTGAGACCGATAATCCAGAAGCAGAACTGCAGATTGGTATCGACATACTTAACGGCAAAGACAAAACCAACATTCAAGAAAAGTATGTATAGTAGAGCAAAGAAAAAGGTTTTATATAAACATGAATAGTTGAAAAGATGGATTTGGTCATTTGTAGGGAAAACAACTTCAAACTGACTTTTTTTTATATCCTATGAAGTTGTTTATTTGCATGGGACTTTGTGTGGATAAATAGTACGTAATTTATGGAATCTACTGTGCTGAAAATTTCTGTGAAAATTTAACCCTTTAATAACCTGTGGACATCAGTAGATACACTCGATTTACACTAACAAAGCATGACTTTACGTTTAATGAAATGACATGTGTTTGATACATTGTTATTATGTCATACTGAAGGACTTTCATTTTGTTTGAAATACTTTCTTCTCATTTGAAACAGTTTCTTTTTGTTTAAAAACATTTTCGTTCATTTTATCCGTAATGTCTTATTTAAGCCTCTTACAGTCACCATTTTCTTGTCATGTAGCAACAAAAGTTAGTGTCTACTGTTGGAGTATTGTAGTACTTGATGCAGATAGCAAGTAATTTACAAGATACACGAAGAATAGGTACTATAAATTCTGATGCTTTGTTTCCATTGTCATATTAAAACTGGTGCAAAGAGAGATATCAGATGTTAAGCTAAAATGATTTGGTACAGCCATTAACTAATCAATGTTTGATATTTCAGATTTATTGCTGTAGCAGACTTGCTGGAACCAATTGATGATGGAACAGCTAGTAATGTAAGTTTGTGTCCTCAAAATCTGTAAAGTTTAACTCCATTTAAACTCACTATGAATTAAGCAGTAGATCTTGGCCCCCAAGAGGAAATAGAGGAAAGTATTAAAAATCCTACTCCTCCTGTAGAAATTTAATCTGAAACATCCTTGGGTCAAAGGGAATCAATTTTCTTTAAGCGGCAGATCTTAGCCTACTGGAAGGGGAGGAACAGGGCCTAATAGGGGAAATAGAGCAAATTCTTTATAATCCTGGCCCTCCTGTATAAATTGATTGGATTTTGCCCTATTTTGGTCTTGCATTCTTAGGTAAAGGAGATTCATGGGAGGGACAGTAGCCATTATAGAAGAAAAAACTTTGAGAACCTCCTTCTGTATGAATGTCAGGATTCTGTCTTAATTTAAAAGTCTGAAGCATGGATGGTTTGGCTGACCCCACTGGGGACAGAGGGTTTGGTTCCAATTGGAAAAAATATCTTCTGTGCTTGGATATTTTGAATTCAATTTCTTTCAGCTTTGTTGAAGCAGGGTCAGCCAACCAAATTTCAACAAAAAACTTAAATTTTACCAATGAGGAAGTGCATTGCTATGTTGATACACAGTTATTTGACTCATCTGAATAAAATCTATTTGACAAGAATTACTTAATTTAGTATATGTACTTGTCTTTACCATGGCTACCAAAACTTATTAACATTGTAATTACCAACATCGTTAACTGTATCACAATGTCAAAGAAATAAGAACAGTAAAATTACTTAATTTCTATTCTTGCACACCCACCCTACAACAAAAACCTCAAATATACATGTATTTGCTAATATGAGAAGACATATGATATCATTCATTGAAAAAGATCTATTTTAGATAAATCTTAAGTGTTTATTGTAACATAATTATTCAAATGCTTTTTTTCCCTCAGCTATTTATATCAACATCATATGATTCCACTTCACATTTCCAAACAACTTGTGAAGATGTCCTTGACATTTACAAGAGAGCAACTGGTGAAGTATTCGAATTCAAAAACATGCCACACATGGGTAACCAAGAGGCGGAAGGAGAGCAGTAACATGAGACTCTTAGTGCTTTTGACTGTCCGTGATCATAAACGTTGTTGTTATCATAGTGTGAGACTGTTTCCGAGATGGTTGTTCGACAAACACACTGCAGGACTTTTTTCCCATAATTTCTTCTTCAGATTGAGGAATGCAGTTTTAGACTATAATGACTTGTAGTCCTTGGAATGGGTTGATGCCATGACTTCGACTAAGAGAAATGTAGAGAGATCTCCTTTTTTTGGTGTCAGAAAAATTGTAATATGATTATATGGAAGTCATAAGTGGAATACTTTCACTTTTAATCATGTGTTTTTCACAGAAGGTATAATCGTGGAAAAAGTAGAGAAAACTGCGAGAAGTCTATATCTTTTACATTATTTACGGTATTATGCATCATGTAATGAAATATACTTGTGTAACATCAGCCTGAATCATTTTGTTTTCAGCATTACAATGTTTTCCTGCGGTATCTATGGTGCATGTTTTAAGTAAAATGTGTAGTATTTCTTCAAAAAATGATCATTCAAATTGACACAGTCACAAAGAGAGACGTTGCCAGTTAGGGCCAAAAGAGCTTATGTGCACAATCTGATCTGCTTCACTTTGCCATATAAACAATATTGTCTTTGAACAAGACTGCTATTTACATTAAAATTGATTAAGAGTTGATTTAGTTATTTAAAGCTAGCAATGTACAATTAATGGCATTCAGTATTGCTCTAATTCTGTTGGGGAAACTGCTTCAAGATTTTTTTATATACGCCCGTTGAAAGACGGGACAGCCATATTATGTTTTCACATGGGCGGCGCACATAGGTTTCCGTTCGATAACTTGAATAATTTTTTACAGATTAATTTGAAACTTTACATGAAGGTTTATTACCATAAAAGCCAGGTCAAGTTTGATAACCAAAATTTTTCGCCCATTATTTACAGAGTTATGGCCCTTGGTACATTTGCAAAATAGGTTTCCCCTCAGTAACTTGAGTAATTTTTCATTTATTAATTTGATACTTCATATGACGGTTTATTACAAAAATAGTTTTGGATGGGCGTACATTGTTCCGCCTTGTGGTACTCGCTTGAATTTATTCTGAAGATTCCTGTTCTTTGATGTCACTCTACTGTGAAATGCTCAACAATGTTTGATTTACAACCCACATGCAATCAGTATGAAAAAAAAATAAAAAATAAAAAAAAAAAAAAGAGCAAATAATCTGTCTTTGTCCTGAAAAACACTAAATCAGCAAACAAGCTTTAAAGGACAATTACTAAATAAGTTAATTTGAATGTTATCAATATTAATATTAAGGTATTTCATCATTAATTCTGGATTGGTAGTACATTCTGCTACCAGGTTTAAGTAGAAATAGACTATTTGCTGCTACACAGCTGTGTTAGGTATCTGTTCAACATCATGACCAACAATCTAGTGACAGTTGTATATATATATGTATATATGTAACATACAGATGTAGTCTCCACATAGACTTTGATGAGACTTCCCACGCCTGGTCTGCATTTCTCGATAAAAGTTATTGCTAACTCCTCAGCTTTTTTTGTTATGTTGGTAATATGGGCTACCTCAGATCTTTTACTGTGGGGTAGTATTTTGTAATAAGAATAGATATGTAACTAAGATTTGTAAATCAGAAATATTAATAGTCAAGTCATAACAGTAAAAAAAGTATCAGAGGTTTCAGTAAACTTTCCATGTTTAAAACTTTGGATTTCGATATAATTTTTAATTTTATTACAGTGTATATTCATTTAAAGGATTTCTTATGTGCAATATAAGCTTTTAGAAATATCAAGCTCCAACATTATTATTATTGAGAAATATGTGCGAGACCATGGTCATCATCCTAGAGCTGCCTGTGTAATAATTAATGTGCATTTCTGTGGTTTCGGTTGGTGTAAGATGGTATGGAAGAATTGACAGTGAGTGTTGTTAACAGGACACTGCAATACTTGACACCAACTTAAAGACATTATCTTTCTATGCAGCACAAAGCTTAACAAGTGGTCAATGGTTACTAAAAGTAATTCCTACAGATGATTAGTTCCTCTAACAAGATGATATATGTAGGCTGACATGTTCTGAATCATTTATAAAGTGAAGGGTCATATATATTTTATTTATACAATACATCATATTGAATGATAATTTGAAATTTTCAAAAAGTTATGAAGGAAATCATGTTATATAAAATCATGTATGTAATTTTCAAAACTTCAGTAGATAATTTCAAATGAGATTTCAATGTGAGTTCTATTAAACTCTTAAATATTTTCTAAATTGTATAATACATAGTGTATTTACTAATTTACTTATTATCATTGAAATAGAGAGAGAGAGAGAGAAAGAAAAGTGAAAAAAGTTCTGATCAAAGCTTTGTCATTGGAGCACCAGGGTAAACTAATCTGTGAAGATTTTTAATCACAAGGGTGTGGGGGAGTGGGGGAGAAGAGCACAATGTCCTTGGATGTAGAAATCCTGACAAATCTACAGTGAAAATGTAGGTCGACCAATAATTCTCTGATGTATTAACAAAATTTAGATGAAAATTCGAAAGCATTTCCAATAGAGATTAACAGCTTAAAACAAATACAATGCTTTCAGCAGTTTTGCTTTGTGAATTGAATCTGTGTTTTTAAAATTGATCAATTGCTTTTTCAAGATTATTTTTTCAGGTATAAAACTGCTTTGATAATCAGTTGAATCTATAAGATAATTCTGATCTTCAAAAATATCTATTGCTGTCCTGGGGACAAAGCTCTATCGTGTGATATTCTTTGTCTGAGTGACGCGAGGAAGAGGGAGAGAGTTTGAGGGTATAGAGTGAGTTTGACTTTTTTCTTGCCTATTATCAAATATTTTGGGGAGTAAATATACTAAGCTTTTATTATTTCATATAAATGTATTCCTGTGAAGCAAAGTTAAGGTTTGTCACCCTCTTGTCCAATACCATGCTTACATACTTCATAAGTAAATAAAGGTACAGAACAAGTGGAAAGATTTCTTTTTATTGATGCCAATATTCTGTTTGATAATTTTGTATTAGCAAAAATTAGGAAATTTTCATTTTGACGAAAAAATACCCTTGTATCATTGCATCATGTTTTGGCCCGATGGAATTTTTTTGTTTTCCTGTTCAGATTCGAAGTTTACAATCTGTACATAGTGGTGTTCACATGTTTTTAATTAAAGTCATCTGAACCAAAGGGTCAAGATGACCTTATAGCCATCGTGTATGAATATTTGTTATGTTATAGAACAAATTTTCAAATTATTCCTGTAGGATTCAACTGAAATGATCCAGAGATAATCCTGACCAAGTTTTGTTTTGTCTGTGGATTAATCCGAAAACCAGTCTTCTCTGGTTATCACTTACCATTGTTGTGTCGTATATAGGTCATATATAGAGATGACCATTCAGGCCTATGGGCCTCTTGTTTGATGTTTGCTTGTCTAAAGTTTCAACAAGAAGTATTATGAAATAGTAGTGAACATGTCTGTCACTTTGTACATGGAAATCCATGAATATTTCTCAGATAATTAGCTCACATTGCCCAAGGGGCCAAGTGAGCTATAGGATACCACCTAGTCATCCATCAACTGTTTCTACAAGACACAACTAGTCATGATGAATGACTGAGGGGATTTTGACCCAATTTAGTCAGAAGTATCCATGGGGGAAGTTGAACATATTTTGTTTAAATGGAATGTTCACAACAAGGGACTATGGGGAACCTACATCTGAAATTTGGGAAAGATCCATGCAATACCTCTGAAGAACTAGCAATAACGATCTTTCATTGTTAAAATCCAAGATGGGTGCTTGTCAAGCCAATTTTTTTCCTGATCAGCATGAAGATCAAACAAGCACAACTCGTAATTAAGGGGAACCTACAAATGAAACTTGAGAAGGATCCATCTAGTAGTTCTTAAGAAATAGTGATAACAAACTTCCATTGTAAAAATCCAAGATGGCCACCTGAAGGCCAGTTTGTATATCTGAACAGTTTTAAAGGGAAATATTACATTTTCAATGAATGAAACACTTAGACATAAATAGCCTTCACCTTTCTGACATAATGAAAACCTTGAAAATCTAGGAACTATCACAAAATCTATGTATTTGATGAAGTACCCTGCAGTTTATTTGATCCAAAAAACAAAAAAAAAAAATCAGATAGCAGCCCTGAACAAAAAGGTCTTCTAGTCTTAATGGGGATGTTTGTTTGCTTGGCTTAATGCCCAATAAACAGCCAGGGTCATTTTGAGGCATGACCTTGTGGTATTAGTTGGTGGCTACCTCACTGAACAACATACAGGAGGCCAGTGCCATGTCATCCAGAGCAATATGAGGAAAGTGTCCTGCTCAAGCACAGATGGTCCTTCTCTCGGCTTACTGAAACAAACAGTCTTTCAAAACAATGTCTTATCCATTGTTTTATGGTTTATTGTTGCTTTCCATCCTATTAACATCCATGACCATTTAAGGATGTACCAGGTTTGGTGGTGGAGTTAATTTGAGTTCTCAGAGAAAAACTACTGACATGCAACAACTGCTCCACATAGGCTTCAAACTCGCAATGCAGAGGTGGAAGGCCAGTGATAAAGACGATTATGATCAGACACTCCAAACTGCCACTGGTGCCCCAGCTTAGACATTCACTAGTAAATCTGATCAAAGGAGACCATCAAGTAGAAGCTACACCCAGGAAGAACACAACAAAAATAATCCAACATCCATTTCAACTTTTATTATGACTTTTGAAGTGCTGAGTATCATTTGACAGCAAGAGACAAAAAACTGAGTCTCTCTCCTGCATGACCAGACTTACTAAGCATTTCCACTGACACAAGTTTCACATTCAATATATTCTCAGAATCATCACAAAAAGATAATTCCAGATTTAAGCAACTATGAATGTGGAAAAGTGTTTTTCAGTCTATGATAAAGGGTGCAGTTACTATGTTGATATGAACATATATTCCTGTCAAAATACCATTTACCCATTTTCTAATATATCGGTACCTTATATTCACATAACTAGCAATGAATTGTGTAAGAAATATAACATCTTGAGTATAATTATAATATTCAAATAAAATATCATTTGTTCTAATTTGAGGATGATTTAAAAGTATTGTAGTAAGCAAAAATGTTTTCATATTTGAAACAGATTTTCAGGAGAAAAAAAAGTGCCACTTTTCATTGTATGTTGTAAACAAAACAACACATAATTATTTGTTACAATATTGTATAAGAGTATGGCTTAATTTTCAAATGAATATCAATTTAAAGTTTCGTTTTGTTTTGTGTCAATAACTAAGTTTCCCTGATAACTGCTCATCAAAACAACCAATTTTATAAGATTAATCTCTCTTTTGTCATTTCTACATGGGCGACACATTGCAATTTAAAGCAATATCACAAAAACAATTTAGTGCATTACAATCATTTAAAAAGCAGCTATGTTTAATATCTATACTGATATGGTATAGAAGTCTTAAACACACCTGTATTTTTATGGAGTACATTTTGCATTTATTTTCTCATTAAATAACAAAATAAAAACAATTTAAAATGCCCCTTAAACATCAATAAGTCAATTTATTCAAAGTTCTGTAGGTCAAAACATGTATACATATTTATAACTTATAAGATATTTTTGCTGTGAGTTTTGACAAAATCCTACATAACTATCAAGAGTTAATTCCTTTTTTCCCCTCATTAATTTCCACAGGCTTTGAATACTTTCATTTTCAAACAGAAAACAAAATTTAGCTGAATATTAAATATTATTTCAAATTTCACAAATGTAAGAGAATTTCAAATAGTTACCATGACAATCATTCATGAAAACAAAGCATCAGGAAAAAAATATGAAACTTGAGATGCTAGTAATAGTGTAAATTTGTAGCACTTAATAACTAGAAAACACATTCATAAATGGAACGAAAATGCTGACAAGTATGATGTAATAATAATAATAATATTTTTGATGAAATGGCAGGAAGATAATAGATTCACAGACACCATTATCACAAGTCACATGATTAGTATGTGATCAATGCACAAGGAACTCATTGTAATGTGATAGCAATTACACAACTAGCACAAGTTATGTAAATCACATGAAAATTTACATGAAGTTGAGAAAGCTCTTACAACCTACATTTGATGGTTTAATCTGACTTAGCTGTGTACAGGTTATACAACGTTATATCTCACAAGTGCATAATTTACAATTTAATTTTTAACAAAATCATTACACTTATTAAAAAGAATAGAAAATTACAAGGGGAGGGCATATATATATATATATATTGGGCTGGCAGTAAAATTATGTACATTTAGATAAACAATTCTGTATCACCCATCTTTCTACCTCTCTACTACCTTCTGGCAAAACATACAAATACAGTAAAATATTAGAAATAAAACATGCCTATTTCATCAAATTAAATAAAGAATTACTGATAATATACTTCAAATACTTTTATTTTAGAAGTTGTTTTATTTTGGCAGGTCAAGCATTCAGCTAAATCATCAATGCTTAAATATGGTTTTTCAAGAACATTTTTGTCCCACAATATCATCAAATATTGTGGATTCTCCAATACATGTAACTTAATATTTAAAGCACAATGCCTAAAATATGCCAAAAAAGGTATAATTGTAATAATTATCATCATCACATTCTTGAAATGGACACTGATTATTGTTTAAAAATAGTTACTGCAGCAAATTAAAGTAAAAAAAAGGAAAATCAAGAATGAATAAAATTACTTGTTCTAAAATTGTTGTTGAAAATATATTAAGAAATAAACATCTCTTAAGAGACACCTATTACAGATGGTGTCAGCACAAAACAACAAGACATTGTTGGACCTTGAAAATCTGGATTCTTGAAAGTGATCAAATCCCAAAGATTTTTTATGAAGCATCCCAGTTGTGCAATTAATAAGGAAATCTAGTTGTTTCCTTGTTTTCTCTTGTGATTTCACTTGTAACTAAAATGTATGGATAACCGTAGAGAAACTCACATCTCCAGAATTATTTATGTTTTCGAGAAATTCAAATAAACGTCGCAAAACTGACGTCTTATGGAAACATTGGAGTTATTTTCCTTAAAATTATAATTACATTTTCCAGTTGCTTTCAGGTAAGCGGTTGAAACAGTTGGCCCAGCTGAACCTGTGAGAAGGGTGACAAGTATAGATAGTGACTGAGGCTAAATCACAGATTATTTATCCCAAATCTGGCTAAATATCATTAGTTTTTAGAAATTTGGTTGGTTACTTTTACATTTGACAGGAAATTCTGAAATTGTACATGCTCAGCTCTTATCTACAAGATTCTTCACATCTGGTGTATGTGTGTTCACTTAACATAGAATAATTCTGTGTCACCTGGATTGTTTAATCCAGGTTACACAAAAGCTGCCGTGGATGGACTTTTGGTGCACATTTTCAAAATTGTCCAACTATGAAATTTCAATAAACAGACCTAGATAAATGTTTCTTCATGCTAATTCTTGTTCCAAAAAATTGTGACAAAAAATTTCAATGTTTAGTTTTTTGCAGATATAAAATTCTGAAGAGTAACAAGATGCTTCTTTATTACAATACAAAATTCATCTCAAGTTTCTGTATCAATGACAAGTAAAATTGCTGCACCATTCATAATGGTGATATAAAGGAGCAAAAGCTAAAGCAATTTGTGTTACGTAATCCTAAAATGTACTATATGTATGATAAGATACTACCTGTTAAATACATATTAATCCTGCAAACCCTCATTCTTTAATATCGAATAAGGGCTAATACAGATAACAAACAAGGCCTAATTTGTAAACTTTCTAAAACAGATTTTGTTGTAACTGAAATATTTTTGGTTTTATTTGGATATATTAGAATGAGACAGAAACTATATATAAGTTTTTCGTTCATTATCAAAACAATGTTTTTTCGCTGTAGAATAATGAACTCATTTCTATGTAAAGAAGACATATCTCACAAGGAGGTAAAACTGTTCCTGATATTCTACACGAGGCTTTAAGTCTTAACACAAAATCATCTGTCTCTTGGGCTCTCACACAATTCTGCCTCAAAATATTATGTTGTTATAATAACCAACATCAGGTAGTACCAAGGTTTGAATAAGTTGAAGACATTTATTTGTTTCTATTCCCAATAATGACCATGTTTTGACACCATAAACATTACAAGTTAACCAGAACAAGGCTGCATACCTTTATTGACAACTGGTGACAGATGAAGCTTGTACCAAGTGACAAAAAGGACAAGATATGTGAATATTACACACAGACCATAACTAAAACTATGAAAGACTTAAAACTTGTACATACATACCCAACTACACACACATGCAGGGAATTAAAGGTCAGTGTAAGACTATCAACTTAGAGTGTCAAATATCAAGTACACGTAATCTTAAATTTGAACAATAAAATATTTCTAACAGAAACGAATCACAAAAAGTTGTTAACAAAGGAACTGATCAACTGCTGCTTCATAAACTATAATGGCAACTATGGTTACACAGAAACAGGTGAAACAAAAGGCCAAAGAAAAGCTTCTCACAAACCACGATAACTATGGTTACAGCAAAACTTCTCACAAACCATGGTATCTGGTTACAGCAAAGCTTCTCACAAACCATGGTATCTATGGTTACAGCAAAGCTTTTCCAAAACCATGATAACTATGGTTACAGCAAAGCTTTTCCAAAACCATACCTGTGGACCGAGAAAAGCCCATAAACCATGAAACTGGTTAAAGAAAAGCTTCCAAAATCCTATAATAATAGTGGTAAAACAAAAAGCTTTCAACAGATCATGGTTTATAGAAAAATTTGTCATGAACCACAAGAGCTGTGATTACAGATAAACTTCTCATAAACTTTGGCTATGGAAATGCTTATACAGCAGAAACAGAATTTTCAGTAACAATATTGCTACAGTTCAGAGAAACATCATCATTATTAAACATTGGACCACAAGGTCCTGAACATCAATTCAAATTTGTAAGACCTATTTTCAAACTTTGTTGTTGAAAAAAAAAACAACATAAAATACTGATACAGTGATCCTTTAGACAGTGTCAACAAACGTATCCATCATTGCACTTCAGATCCAAGAAGCAATATCAATAATCACAGAATCTGCACAAGTATAAAACATTCTCATTACCAAATAGTTTAGTTCTTGTAACAGTATCAGATTTCTGATACCAAAATACCCTCAACTCAAATACATATGTACATGCTTGCAATAGGATACATTGTATTACGAAAGCATTTTTCATAAAATTCTGATGAAAAATTATTATTTCAACTATTCAAATATTTTAAAAGAGATGATCAATTTACTTCAGCGTATAGACCCCAAGTAAGCTACATTTACACGCAAACTTTCATTCAATTTGGCTTTCACCACAATAAATTTCATCATTTAAATATTGTCAAGCAGGCCACATTCAAGGATTTCCACATTTCCGACTTGTCCAAAGCTTAAGTGTGGACATTTCCTGTTGTGTCCATATAAGGTACTAGTTAGTATTGTCCAGACTGGTCACAGGGAATCATTTCTTGAGGAATAAATTTGCAACTAGTCCGAACCAACCTTCGCTATAAGTTCATCACAAATTGCTGTCAGTTCCTGATTTTCCTGAACCTGAAAATGACCAGAAACAAGTCAATATTTTCTGTGTAGTTATTTATTGTTATACCCATTTGAATTCTAGATTCCATACCTTTCCCAGAAAATTACTCGATGTAATATCCGTTTGAATTCTAGAATTATTTATTTATTTGTTTATGTTTACTCATTTTGTAATTAATACTACCTTGGTTTTTGTTAGGTATGGTAAATCTGTGGTCGAAAAAAAGATCCCTTTCCTATCTCTTGTAATGGATCAATAAACAGAAGATATTTAATAGTAACAAATGTATTATTCATAACATTGATTGCTCTGCTATATATAAGGTTTTTTCGGATCTTTTATATTACAACACAATAACACTACACAAAAGACTGTAAAATCATCAATTTTCATGTTGGTTATGTTTCTGTTTGATATCATCCTCAATCTGATTGCAGATGTTTATACAAAGAAAGATTACATATTGCTCAATAAACAATAAATCACTTTTTGTTCCAGAGTCTTTTCTAGCCCTTGTACACGTAGATCTGATTTTCTCATGGCCGCTTCAAGTCGAGCTACATCAGCTGTTGTTGTTTTTTTCACTTTCTCAATTTCTTGATTTGCTCTGAATAAAAGAAATTAAAAAAATATATTTAACTCTTCTCACATACTTTCTCACATGTTTTATCACTGACTGACATTAATTATGATTTTGCATCTTCACTTAGAGTAATTAAGTGTTCATGAGCCAAGGAATATTTGGGAGTATAAATACTGTTCCTTGGTCAACAACAGCTTGGTGCAACAAAAGGAGCAAAGGTACAGAAGGATACATTCCAACATTTAAATTGGGACATTGAGACCTTGAAATTCAACTCAGTTCAGAAACACATGTGAAGTATAATCAAATCAATGTCGGAGTGATAACAACAGATGACTGATCGTAAGAATTTTTCTTATAAATTCTAAAAAAATGCATTTGCAATGAACGATTTCTTAATACCTTACATACTGTAAAATGATAAATTTTTGTAGGGCATTGATTTTTAGGGGATTCTCTTAATTCCTGAATTCATGTCTATGAACTGTTGAAATTAGTCTATATGGATTTATTGAGCAATATTTACCCATGAAATCAAGCGTCCACAAAAAGATTTTTTTTGAAAAACCACAAATATTGAGTCTCACAAAAATTATATATAAAGCTACAGTAATGCCAATAATCTGTTATGTACTTTGCTCAAAATGCTACATAGACAAGCCCTTAAATATAGTAAGAACTTTCAAAATATGGAATCTGCAAAGTCATCTGTATAAAATTTATGGAAAATCTAGGTATGTATTTTAATGTATTACATCAAGTGAGGATTATCAATCAAAACAGCATCAGAATGAGTTATTTTGATTTATTACTAACTGTCAACCCATATCCTTCCCTCCAGACTTCATCAACACCATTAGTAATAAATCCGAAGAACTCACTCTGATGCTGTTGTGATTGATATTCCTCACTTGATTTTCCCTACTGCTCAATCACCCAGCATATTGTTGGGTAGCCAGTTGAAGAGTAAAGGAACCCACGAACCAACCAACTAGCACGAATGGTGTTAGCTCTATTAGTAAATCCTTAATGTATTACATGTTACATTTCACCTAATAAAGTTCACAGCAGATATGGTTATCAATGCAATGCTTTCATATAATTTGACCATGTTTACATAATGTGGCAGCCAGTCAAAGGTAATTCTCCCCAAACCGACAAGTCATAAACATGACATTCATCTCTGTCACATCATCTGAAGAGCTGACAAGAGGAAAATTCAAATAAAAAGCACAACATAACGTTTATAGCCCGTACAGATCTAACTTATCCTCCGCTTGCTGTAAAACATCCTGTAGTTTCTCCTCGGACTTCTTTAGTTTGGACTGGTAGTCTTGAACACATTTCTTTAAAACTTCCTCATTCTGAAACCAAAAAATGTAAAATTTGAAATGGTGAAATCATTATGTAATATCTTAATTTTAAGAAAAGTTCATATTTAATCAACTGAGAATCTACAGCTTTCTTTCTACCAGATGCTGAACTTGATGAGAACTGCAAAGGATATTCTATAACTATGCTTTGTTTCAGAAAACACTTGTCCACTTAAAGAGACATCTTAATATTTTTGTGGCGACCATGTGTCCAATTTTAGCAGATTTTAGTACAAAATAAGTCCTAGTGCTTTTAGGTTATGAGTAATCACATCAGTTTCTTGTAAGAATTGATCAAAGATATGGATTTGAAAATATTTTCAATGTTAAGTTATAACATTTTAAACCTGATTTTTTTTGGTGAGTTACAAAATAAGAAAATTGGATTTTACAACTGTGAGCAGAGAATATCAAAATCTTAGACATAAATGCAACGTTCTATTTTCACTAAAGCATCTAACTTGACATCTTTGTGCTGACAAAAAAATAACTTTTATTACTATTTATCATGATAACAAATTAACACCACAATGTGAACAGACCTTTTTAAAACCTTCCACAACACCTTTGGTTTTCTCGTAACGACGGTGGAGATCGGAGAAGGCCATCTCCACTGACTGCAGATCTTCTATGGCCTAAAAACAACAAACAGATTCAACAGTGTGATGGATATTTAAAAGTGAATATTTTCAGCAGTTACACATGCTTCCATAAGGTTAGGCATCATGCTCATATCACAATTAAATGTCATATTGACAGGATAATTCTGTATGTTTGTTTGCTGGGTTTAGTGCTGTGAACAACAAGGGTCATTTGAAGGAGCCTCCTTGTAGTAGCTGGTAGCTACTTCACCGCACAACATTTGGGAGGCCTATCACACCCCATGGAGGGAAAAAAGGGTAAAGTGCCAAAGGACACAACCCTGTCAGCACAGACCAGTCCATTTCTAAGCTTCCTGAGAAACACTGTGTGTTATGTTTTCTATTGAGATTTAATTGTAGAGATCAAATATTATTCAGTCATTCTGAAAATATCTTTTCTCAATCTCATAATTGCTCTTTTCTTCAGTAAATGCACTAATATATTTAATATGTTTGTAGGTGGACCATCATCAATTAAGATACTTTGATGTTAGAACTGATACAAACCACAGAGAACCATGATTACAGGTATGAAATCAAAAGAGTGCAATCTGCAATACTTGCAAAAGAAATTGTTGGTCATTGAATAAAAAAGTTCTAAAATTTGTTTCTATTTGAACTTTACATTGAGACTGATGAACTACATCATGCATTTTTCATTATAAGATTAAAAATTTTGACCTTAATTCATGTGGCCTTGAACTCACCTGATCCCTCTCTTTTACAACATCTTCCATGGACTGCTGAGATTCTGTGCATGATTTTTCCTTTTCCGCTGAAATTGAATCAACAAAATTCTTACAATGTCAGTGATATCTGATCAATATGTTGTATTCATGAAGGTGGCAGATAAGACAGGTTAATCTGACCAATACAATTCACTCCAAAGATCCCCTATAAAGACACAATAAATGTCTTTTACAGCATCTTACAGGGAGTCAAATAAGACAAGTTAGCCTGGCCAATTTGTTGTATCCACATTGGTGTCAGAGTAGATATATTTCACCAGTGTGAATGATTCTATAGTGATAATACAGCGGCTTTTTTTCCTGCAGGATTTGGGGCCAATACAGGACCCATTCCCATTGGTAAAGCCAGTATTTTTTCCCCAATCCATGTTAAAATTCCAAAATGAATGCCAGTTAAAGAAATTAAAAATAGATGGTTATGTCCCATGTACAACTGATTTTTTTTCATTCTGTGTTTTTGCTCTAACAATAAATCTATTAGTAATGATTAAATTAAAATATCTTGGGTGTTTTATTATTTTTCAAATTGTAGATTTTATAGAACTTTCTCACAAATTCAAAGCCATACAATTCATTCCTAAAGAACTGAAAAAAACCCTTTTATACATACCTTGTAGTTGGGCAATAGTTTTTTCAAACTCGGCCACGACACACCTGTGTAAAGAATGACAAGTTATTATGTGTCACACATCAATACCTGTAATTATATGATGTAAAAACTAAATATAAAGTCTCATTATCATGGAATGCTGCATTGGTTTTTTTTTGACATATTCTCAGACAAGGAAGTTGGAATTATCTTGGGTTTTAATAAAAGACATTTAAATCTAAATATGAAAATTTCAGGGAGAAAAACCTGACCATACCTAGTGAACGACATCATACATGATAAATGACTCTCATCATCTTGTCAAAAACCTCGGTTATATAACCCCATTACCTACACCAATCACTATTGTTCATACCTCATATCATGGTTGGCCTGTTTTAGATTCTTGCACTGATCTTCCAGGCGAGATAAATTTTTCTCTCGGTCAGCAAGTTTTCGACTCCATTCCCTCTCTTTGTTGAGAAGCTTGGCTTGAAACTCTAAGTCCAAGTCTTGTTTCAGCTTATTCCACTCAGATTGTGAGTACTTTAGCACCTGTCATAACACCAAACAAGTCATGAAATTTGGAATTTACCAAAATTTTAACCAGTTAGCCAAGACTGTGTGTCTGCTGTCCTTTATCAACATGGTCACTGAATCTAACAAAGAAAGCCCAGTGTAAGTAGACACTGAAGTCATTTACAAAGGCTTACTGCTGTCCTTGAACAAAATACATTTAATCAAGTACAAAACTACCCAGCTGTACAAAGTAGTACCTACATGCCTGTAAGTAATCATAAGAATACTATCTGCTCTTAATCAAATAACATGTACAAACCACAAAAACAAACTCATCAATACATGCAATGTGTTCTGAGTCAAATCAAAGATCTGTTGCTGAACTAGCATGATTTAAAATGTACTAATTACATGGCACAGCTCTTTAGAGCTTCTCCCACATTTTTTTTTAGTCCAATGGAAGAATTTCAACTCAACAGGATTTTCTTGTATATCTAGCCATCAATATGTAGATCATGATATCTACTTAAATAAAGTTTTTCAATATCTACAGCAGATGAAAGAAGCTCTAATCTGCTCCTATTATCTTCGTCATTAGCAGTAACAGAAGCAAGAACCAAAACTACTATTTTATATTTGTACTTTTTCATTTTTAATAATTTTTTGTTTTCCTCCTTTTTGAAATCTTACTCTTAACTTTTTACCTCTATGCATATGTTTCTGTTAAACTCTACATCATTAGACATTAGTCTGTAAGTAAGATTTACATATGTTACCTGAAATCATCCACTTGTGCCCTAACAAAAAAGTCTTCCCTGTAAAAAATTAACTCCCTTGTCAGAGTTCTCCTTTAATTACTTATGTCACAATGGTCCAAGGGAAATTATAGGAATCTACTCCATGTAAACCTTCACCATACATTCCATACTTTTTTTGATACATCATATTTGTCAAAATTTTTGTTTTCTTATCATACAGTTTTCTTATCTTTTAAAACAGTATAAAGAATGGATAAAAACATGACCTGACAAGCTTTTTCATTACAAAAATCCATTGGCAATTTTTATGACCGTTATGATCTACTTAAGCCAGAATTTTCAGAAGTGATATCAAAATAAAGACACTGGATTTGAAACTTTTAAATCAGACTTTGGACCTACTTTATATTCTCAAAATTGTGATATGTCACATTCAGGCAACACAAATTAGTTGTAACATCACTTTAATTATTTATTCAACTATAGAGCTAAGCACATGGATATTCAACTTTAGTTTATATACTAAACAATGGTAATCATTCATCTAGTATATTTATATCATGCAGTCATACAGTATTATAATCTATAATTATAACTTTTCTCCACATTTTAACTGTGATTACAATTTGACTTCATAAAAGCCAAATGAGGTCATGCTCAGCCCCTAAAGCTGATATCATAAAATAAGAACCATCAACAAACAAAAACACTTATTTCCTACACCGAGACATTTTCCACCATCTAGAAGCACAAAATCAAGATATATTTACTGTAATATTAAAATATTGAATTGTCTCAGTATAGCAAATATGTAATTTTTGAAAACTGGTTGCTGGCTTTTGGCAAACAGTCATGCCTGCCATAAAGTTAATAGAAGTCAAGGATCAACAGAAGTCATGCCTGCTATAGGTCAACAGAGGTCAAGGTTATCAATGGGTCATGGTTAACATAGGTCAACATATATAGGTTCAGACTGCATCAACAAATGTCATGCCAGCCATATAGGCTAAAAGATGTCAAGACAATCAACAGATATTGTGTCTTGTGGGCCACAGAAGTCATGACTGTCTATCAACAGAGCATGCCTGACATGAGTAAACAGATTTCATGTATGTTATATGTCTACAAAGTTCAAAGCTGGCTATCAACAGAGGTCATGCTGACATTGGTTCACAGAGGTCATGTATGTCATAGGTCAACAAAGGTCAAGACTGTCTTTACACACAGGTCACTCTGACAGGTCAGTGAGGTAATGCCTGACATTGGTTAACAAAGGTCAAGGATGTCTTTACACACAGGTCACTCTGACAGGTCAGTGAGGTAATGCCTGACATTGGTTAACAAAGGTCAAGGATGTCTTTAAACAAAGGACATTCTTATCAGTGGTTAGCAGAGGCAATGTTTGGCATAGGCAAATAAGGTTTTGTGTTTAAATACAGTTTGCCAATATTTTGTGATGTATTTAGTTTAACAGTAATGTAGTAGCATTGGTTGGTGGGGAAAAAAGAACAGACAATATCAAGATTTAACTGATCTATGACTAAAGTTTCAGGCAACTATCTGAGAGTTAGTGTCAACAAAAAAATGACTCAAGAAAAAACAGTACATCATTAAAGCATTCTCTGAATTTGATTTCTGCAGTTATACATGTTAACTTCTCCATTGATTGAAATCTGAAAGAAAAATACTGGCACATGAAGCTTTGATGTTTCCATCATGTTTTCCTCCATTCTTCAATGATCATGGATGACGAGGATCAAGCAGCTCTATGAAGCATCTTTGTCTGAAATCATTTGATAGCAATCTCTACTCTATTTCTTTTGCGCAAAGCTTGTTTCTCCTTGTTTGATGTCAAAACAAAAAAAATGATGATTTATAAATCTGTCAAGGCCTTATACACTGTAACTCAATGATGCATAAATTTGTTTTAAAGTTCTTTGATACCATGCTTCAATCAGTCCACCGAGTATAGTCTTATTTCTTTGTTTACATTGTATACACATTCTTAAGATATAAATAGATATAATAATTAGCAGTAGATATAACTTATACCTTTGTTTATATACAATTATTACATTATATATATATATTATAGATACACAATCCAGTTATGTTATTAAGACCTTGTTTTACATCTGTCCTTTACAGCATTAAATTTGAGTTTATGGAAGTCTCAGGTGAAATGATAATTTGAATCAGACAACAAAAAGACAATATTTGCATTTGTATTGATTGATGCCTAACTTTGATTTTCTTTTCTTTTTGTAGATTTGTTATTCACACGAATTTGATGTGAAAATCTTATAACAGAACTTGTCAACAAATTGTGAGTGAATTGTGATGAAATTAAAATTAAAATGTGATATTGTTACAAGATGTCAACTCCATTTACCTTCTGGGAATGTCAGGTTCAATTTGAAAATATTTTTCTTTATTATGTGCTGTCATCTGAGTGTATATATCATATCCAATGACTGGTATTATAGACAAATTTTGTACATCACTATGCAGAGGGTTATCTTAGTCACATTTGTGAATTTGAGAACATGCTAGTTTTGAGCAATTGTTTTTTTTTTTTTTTTTTAAACTATTCTTATGAGAAACATTGAAGTTATAAGGTTTATGATTTTTGAATCAAATTTTTGTAAACTAATATTTATGAAATTCCAGCCACAATCAGACCCATTAACAAAATGGGAAAAAAGATTTCATGGTTAGTGGTTTTTTTTCGTTGAGTAAACTTGCCCTGTCATTCAAAAATTGACAATCTGTCCCTGAATCACCAGTAATTTACCACCATCACCATAACCATAGGCCTAATGTTAGCAAGTCACTTGAACTGTTGATATTTAATGTAAAGGGTCAAGGTCAAGTGGAATTGAAATTAAATGCAAGACATTTACAGAAATCCCAGCATGTATTGGTTGGTATATTACAATTTGAAATATGATCTTGATTTTTATCTTTTCTTAAATATCATCGTGACAACTGTTACATTTTAAAATATAGTACTAATGTATATATGTTACATTTTAAAATATGACTTTGATGTACATTATATTTTAAAATTTTAAATCATACTGATGTATGTTATATTTTGAAATGTAATTCTGATGTACATATATAGCATGGGACAAACATGTTCACTCTAATTTGTGTTGTATATTAAAGTAAAGATACACATCAATATTCTTTTAATGACCATCTTGAATTTTTTAGCCTAAATCCAATCAAGATAGTAATTATTTCTAAATCTTTCTCACAGAAAACCCATAATGATATATAAAAATAAACGAAATAGAATCGGTGTGAAATGTACTCAATAATCCCTTGTTATGTCCTCAATGCTTTCCAATTGTGACCTTGACCCAATTTACATGTGCCAGAAGTTCCTTTTCACTAAGATTTTTAACCTTGACTTAGACCTTGCCTTTCCAGGGTCAACATGCGATGTATCATACAGAGTAATCATAGATAATTGTATATTGTGACAAAGGATGATCTTTTCCTCTGCTTGTAATTATTTAAATGTTTACTTCTTTGAAACAAATTTAAACATTTAATCATTATGACAAAATGGTGAGTGTTAGGGAGTTATGTATGGAAGGAAAGGTTGAAATGCAATCGTTATAGATGGGATTGAAGGAAAGGAAGAGTTAACGAGAGCTTTGTTGCTGGATCCCATGGGGCTCCAACTGAACCGAACATTTTGCAGTTAGAAGCATCATCACACAGAAAGTGCAGTATCATGAATACCAGAACAGCATACTCTACCTGTTTACTGTTTTCCTGCGGGGAACAATTATGTAAAACAATTACAGCAAAGTCATAAAAACATTAAAAAAAAACTTTATGGTAAAGCGAACAACGTGTTTTAACCCGTTGTTGTTGAGTTTTACCGATGAGCTGCAAGTTTGGCATTAATGACATCAACTGTCGATGGGCCATGACAGAAGCTATACAAAAACAAATGGAAATTTTAAGGAAGTTTCATTATATACAGATGTAACAAGAAAAAGGAAAAGTTTCAAGATTTTAAATGTAATTACACTATAAACAACATGAAACATGTTTTATCATAAATTAAAAAAAAACATTCAGGATATCAGTTACTTACTTGAACAAGTTGTACCACCGACTCCGTATTCTCCATCTTGAATCCGCTTCGATCCCCGTCCCCATCACTCTGCAACAAACCAAACAAAAAAGGAAAATTATTTATTTTGGTAATGAGAAAAATTTTCTAAAAGTTATATTCAGAATTTCCATCTTGAATTTTCTAGTTCCAACTTACCTATATAGTCATGCATGACCATCTTAAGTTACATTTTCAAATTCCATCACATCACAAGGTCATTCTAAATGACAATTTGAACATTTCTCTCCATTTATTCAACTCTCAACAGGCTTTGCAATACACAAGACCGTATAAGACAACCTAAGAAGAAATAGGCATGTTTTTGACATCTTCTGTTCTATTGCAAACATGTAACAATTCAAAACAAAGACACTGATGGTGCCTCACCTACTGAGGTGAAAGCAGTCAACCAAATAAACTTACTATATGTTACACACCTAGGAACATGATTTTGTCCAACTTATTCTCAAAAACTATCTATAAACACATTGTATTTATGATTTATTAAGTCCATTTAGGGCCAATATTGAGTTGGCTTATTGCAGTACAATAAATTAACATTTGTTTGGATTCTACTGCAAACATCAGTAGATATGGATGGACTTATCACAAAGAATGAGGGTACTGCTCTATAAAAACACAGTAGAAATATTGTTAACTTGCTTTCAACAGTAATCATGGGCTGAGAACTGACAGATTTTCAAACTACGATAAAACTAGACTAATTCTACAGGAAATCTACAATTATATATATTTCTAATCACAGAAAGTTTATATAATCTATGTAGTAGGATTGTTACATATGATATAAATACTATGAATATAACTTATCAACACCATTATTGTTTTAAAATATAATTATGAAATAATTAAAGAAGCAATTAATTTCTAGTTTTGTGTTTGTTCTTACAGATCAACAGCCAGGAAGCTGGACATCAAATCCTGTCTGATCACTCCTTCTAAATATTCTACATAAAAGTATTATACAGCCAATAGGGGAAGGAACAGCCGACTACCAGGGTAGTAAACTTCACAAATAGTCTAATCTGTACTAAATAACACCATATTAGGCCATCTGTTACTTCTAGATCACAGTGGGGTTTTCTGTCCCTTTCTCTAAGTCTCATATCAGGGAGTCTGAATCATCCAGTGACATCTGGTACTGGTAGTTAGCTGGTAGGGGATGGGGTTGGGATGGGAAGGGGTCGGTAGGGGATGGGTTGGGATGGGAAGGGGCCGCCAAGGGATGGGTTGGGACGGGAAGGGGTCAGTAGGGGATGGTTTGGGATGGGAAGGGGTCAGCAAGAGATCCGTTGGGATGGGAAGGGGTTGGCAGGGGATGGGTTGGGATGGGAAGGGGTCGGCAAGGGTTGGGTTGGGATGGGAAGGGGTCAGTAGGGGATGAGCATGATGTTGGTAGGGAATGGAATAGATGTGGTTGTCAGGGACAGATGGATAGTTGGTATGGGATAGAGGATGTGGATGGGTACAGGGATGGGAGTTTGGAAGAGATGGAGGACTAGGGGTATAGGTATGTAATAAATGGTTGATGGGACATAAGGATGGGAGATGGGGGGTGGGGGGAGGAAAAGGATGGAAGGGATGGAAGGGATGGAGGAAAGGGGTGGGGATAGGAGATTGAGAATTAAATGCTTGAGATGAGATAAGAGAGGGAATTGGAAATGTAATGATGTGGTATGGTTTAATAAAAGCTGAGATGGAGGTGATGGGGATTGGTTGGCAGGGCATGTGGGTCAATGGGGATGGGGATTGAAGTTGGTTGGGGGCAGGGGATGGTTTGCAGGAGATAAGAATGGGAGGGTGATTGGAACACTGTGGATAAGGTGGGTATAAGATAGTAATGTCAATACTATCCATCAACGGTCAGAATATAATAAATCTAATGATTCAATTTTACATGTATTTCAGTCTCAAAACCTACCAATTAAGTACTTTAGTGCAGTAAAACCTGAGGTACACTGTTATGTTGAAATTTCTGTTACTATTATTTACCTTGTTTAAATCACAAACATGTTTCAGAGATTACATACCTCAAGCAATCCTGTCAATCTAAACTGACAGGGAAAAAAAGAGAGAATAATTAAATTTTCATTAAAATGAATTCTGATCATTTTTTAGTAACCTTTCAGACTTTCACACTTACAATGTCCTCATAGGGTTTGGTTGATGCTGAACCTCCCATCATACAGATATCACCTTGACAACTTGGCCATCCGGAAGTATTTTCACAATTTACCACAAATTCACACAAATAATAATCATATCATTTATCCAGAATATCACTTGACAACCAATTACTACTATTTACCATACACAGAAATAACCATTGTCAGTATCCATTTGCTGTTTGACAGTAACTAAACCCAAAATCTGATATACATCTTGTTGATAATGAATTTTGTCTGTAAAATACATCCTGTACATGGAAACCTACTATATCTTTAAATAAACCTGACAGGAAGTTTCAAAGTACAAGATCACATGTGTTTAATACACCATAATGAAAACGGAATGACATAAGTACCCAATCTACATACATATACACATATACCCTCCCCTTAATACACACATGTACAGACACATACACAAATATAAAACACACCGTTCAGTCAGTATCATTAAGCTTGCATGCAGCCAAGTAAAAAATTGTAACATAAAAAACCTGGTCATGCCTGTTTTCTTCGTTTCTCAACTTTAATCTTGTTGCCAGCTGGTGTGTTGTTCTGCATTGCCTGGGATTTCACAGCATAATACATGGTCCCCTTAGCCCCTTGTAAAATATTGAGGTGATTGATTTTCTGCCAGAGATGATTCAGGGATACGTTTCAGGTGAAATGACAATGTATCTGATCCCTAAATACTTTCCTCCTTTGTAAGACGATGGAATTCCAGCTTTAAAATATGATGCATTGCCTGTGTATTTTCTATAATCTGAGTGACGTAAGTATTGATCACACACAGTCAGACTTCTGTATAGCGATGTGCTGCCATCAGGATTAACCAGTACACAGTAGTTAATTCCCTTCAGTTAGACCTCAATATCAAACAATATTCTTAAATTGTTCTTAATATCAATGGACCAGAACAATTCAGTGTACAAATTAATATTTCAGTCCTGTAAGCAAATCTCTTTCTTCGCGGGTTGGAATATCTCAATCCTGGAAAAAACCATAATTTAAGTCCTGAGTTGATATCTCTCTCCACTTCGAGTAAATATCTGAATCAAGAGGTCCAAAACCTCATTCAATAACCAATATCTAAGTCCTGATGACAATATCTTCTCCAAGGAATCAACATACTTAGTTATGAAGTCAACAGTTTCACAAAGAAATCAATACCTTAGTCCTTAGGCTGAGTTTAAATTAGCTTCACCTAAGAGTCAATGTCCGAGTCGTGAGGGCAACGGCCTCATACAGGAGTCAATATCTCAGTCGTAATAACAATAGATTCCCAATGAGTTAATACCTTAATCCTAAGGTCATATATCAATCTTTTCCCAAGTGTCATATCTTGGTCCTGTATTTAACATATATACAAATGAGTCAATAATCCCAGTTTTCAGTTAATGTCTCAACTGAAAAATTAATATCAAAGACTTGAAATTATAATAATCTAACTGACATATCAATATTTAAGTCCTGAATCATTATTTTCATTCAGGAGTAAATATCTCAGTCCTATATCAATATCTGCATCCAGTCTTGAAACCAAAACAGATCAAATTAACTTGCTGATGCAATTTAACTTATATATTTCATATCAGTGAACAAAAACTCTGACAAAGGGTTGGGAGTTTGTAAATCAGACCTTGCCCTAAGATACATGTAATCAAGAGGTGACTACTGTCCTATCTGAAGTGTAAGTTTTATTCATATTTTCATTACAGAGTAATTTTTCATTGTAGGAATTTGTTTATTCTGAATCCTGCTATCAATATAACAATCAAGCTGATATCAAATCCATTTCAATGCTTATTCCTTTATCTAAATTTTAATCAAATTCTGTTTGTAAATGGAGAGGATACAATGTTTTGAAAAACAAGTTACTTTATATATCACATTCTTTAGTTCACATCAATTTTTAAAAAATCTATATTTCTATTTATCTATTTTTTCTTAACAAATGCTATAGAGGAATGAATTACCTCCCCTTTGATTATCATTTTAAGTCTACTATAAGTGTGTACTCAATAGCATTGTTTAATTTGAAAGAAAATCTGTTGAAATCTGGGTCCTTACTCAAGAAAAAATCCATAAAATCTCATTTTTATATATCAAAAATACTATTCCTATAGCAAATAAATACAAAAAGAATAATCGTTAAAACTCAATATTTCACTCTTAATATTTAAGTTAACAAAGTAAAAAAGTAGTTATTTAAAACTTCAACTAAATATATCCACACCTGTAACAAAAGATAAAAAAAGACATTAAAAAACAAAAAAAAAGAAACGAAGAATAAAAATGAAATAAAGTAAAATGAAATGCACAGTGATACATCAATAAAGACTTATTATTGGATGGTACAGATTTACAGTGAGACGCATGCAATAATGAAAGCAGTCATGCATATTCAAAACATGCAGATACAAGCTCTACTAGAAACTACAGGAGACATGAGATATATATCATACCAAAATATTCCAACATCAGAATCAATTAATATTCATTCTTGTCTGTGATATATTTGGTAGTGATATCTGGCATCTCCAATGTAATGATATATCAGGGACATATAACTTATTTTACATCCCTGGATATATACATTAAAAAAAAAAAGTATCCTCAAATTCCACAATGACAGAACCAAAATGTCTGACTGATTTGGCCGTTATAATTTCAATAAAAAAATTTCTTCAAGAAACAATTCAAAATACAAGTTTTACCTGCAGGATGGTACATATATATACATTTTGTCATTTATTTACAATGACACCATTTTTTGTAACATAACACTGAACTAATTATCTTACAAATTTTTAAAAGCTTCACATAAGAAGAACTGTAAAAGACATTTAACAGCAAATGCAATTAAAACATGCTGTAAAAGAGTGAAAATAAAATTTGTAAATAAATAAATGTGGTCCATCAGAATGGAGTTTCCATTGAGGCTTTTCCAGCACCTATATAAATGCAATAAGTGGCGTTAGTGAGACCAAAAGCAGGCAGAGAGGATATAAAGAATTAGGATACAAAAAGGCTTGAGACACTGGATTTATCAACTCTCCAATACCTTTGAGCCTCTAGAGTTACGGCCCCTGGCAGTAGGTGGAAAGTCATAAGCATCGTAATATCTGGAACCATCAATTTCATCAGGAGGAGACTGCGGCTACCGACAAAAAACAAGGTCAGGAAAAGTGACATCAAGGTCATCGATAAAATGGCAGCAAACCATTTTTTATCAACACATAAAAGTCATCTTAAAAACAGCAGCAAACCACTTTATTATCAACAGAGACCAAATTATACCTGAAACTGCAACAGGGTTTTCTTTAGCACTGTACAGTAATATTAAGATTTGATCTGAATACTGAAACAAGTTGTTTTTAATATTTAAAATGCATCTATAAAGCAAAACTAACAAACAACAATGCAAGCATTTAAGCACTGCTTCTAACTAAGCTTGAAAATTTGTTTCCAATAAACACCATTTGTTTTAAAGCAGATGCAGTCATACTTAAATGTTCTACTATTTCGGATTATCCAATGTACCTGTATATCCAATCATAATTTCGAGACAATCAGAAGTAAACAAACATCTATATAATAGCTACCAACATTTTTTATGGAAGACTGAGGTTGTTTTATGTGAACTTTCCTTCCTTTCTACTTCTAAGTAAAACTATGTGAAAAAAATCCTTACTCTCTACTTTGAAATACAAAATTGTGAAAAAATGATAATATTCAATTTCTTTTTTCTTCTATCTAACACATCGCATGAGAAGTGAATTGCAACCACAATTTAGCTTCAGCAGTAATTTACTTTTCTTTAGATTATAGAAAAAAAACTAGTTTGTAAACTAGGTAAATAAATTGATTTCTTGATAAAAAAAAAGATCCATGATCAAACAAAACAGATGAGAAAACGAGATGACAGAATTTTAATCCAGCAACTCCTAATACTGTTGGAGGGAGACAACTCTGATTACATATATGGAGAGCCACTAACACAAACTATTAAATGAAAAAGATTTGATAAAGACATCAAGCAAGATGTGAAGTTGTGAAAAAGTGAATATCAAACATGGTGACAAAGGGAAATGTATATCAATTTAATCAGAAATTAAAAACCTTTCAAAATCAGTAATTTTTCAATTATTGGTAATGCATTTTTTCAAATGTTTCATTAATGAAGGCAAATTTCACATTTTGCTACACTCTGAATCTCAGAAATTAAACAGAAATAATAATAACAATTGAAAAAAAAAATTAAACACAAAAACTACACACTTTTTTTCCCAATCTTTTGGTTAACTTTTAAGAAAAATAAAGTAAAAAAAAAAAAAAAAAACAATAGAAATAATTTTCCCCCCCCCCCCCCCCCCCCCCCAATCCACCACCAACCATTAATTTATTGAAATACTTGCAAAATATCCAACTTTTCTTTGGCAGGTTAAGAAGATGCCAGATAGTTATCTAGACATGGTGCTACATGAGAAAAGTGAGTGAGAAATTTTAACAACACAAAGATCAGTCACCAGAACTCCCAGAAAAATACAAAGGAATTTGTAAAACTAAACCAAAATCTCTTATAAAGCAAGTATTATGACCCATTGAAAGGTTTTAAAAGTAATAACTGACATTTGTGTAAATATAGAACATGAACAAATAATCACTTAAGAGCTTAGATACTTCAACAACATTTAACTATCAAGGAAGATAAAAACAATCTAGAGCAGTACTGATAATTACTTATGAAATTATACAATCTTAAAATGTTTCCATGGGGAGAAACAACTGACAATCTTTTAAGGGTGTATGATGTATTCCAATAGCATGACTATTATTTTACATGTTGTTATATGTTACCATGTATGAAAGTTAGCTATATACATTTAATTATACACTTGATGGTATACATATTCTGTATTTATCTATAAGTATGAACATTTTCTGTATCGGCATTGTGTTCTGATTTTACATCCACCGCATGCTTTTCATATTTTATATTCTGTACTTTACAGATTTCGTATTTCAAATCCTGTACATGGTGTTCATATTTGACATTATGCAATGTATATGCCACAGGTATCTTGTGATTGGTGTTCACATTTTATGTCCTGAACATAAGTTTTCATATTTCATATCTTGTATATGAATCCAGAGTACATATTTTACAAAAACAATATATATCCTATGAATGGTATTCACATTTTATGTCCTGTACATAAGTTTTCACATTTCATATCTTGTACCTACATGAATCCTGAGTTCATATTTCACAAAAGCCATGAATATCCTATGAATGGTGTTCACATTTTGATAAATGGTTGAACATTTCATAGAGCACACATGGTTTTATAAATACCATATATTTCTATCCTTTATCTTCTTTTCAGTTTTACCTGAATTGGAATAATTTACTCATAGACTCCAGTAACATCATCAATTATTTTACTGGGACAGACAGAACTGAAATAGCAATATGTTCCTTGGTTTTCCTGAAATTATTTTTTTTTAATTCAAAGGTATCCATTCATATGTCTATACATCTGCAATAACCTTGTAAGGCTATAAATACATCAAAACAAACATACTCTTTATATTTTATCCTACAATAAATCTCAGGTGAGGGATCAACACACAAGTCTCAAAGGGGAGGGGTAAACATACAAGACTTAAAGGGGAGGGGAAAACAGACAAGTCTTAAAGGGGAGAGGTAAACATGTAAGATTAAAGGGGAGGGGGCAACATACAAGTCTCAAAGGGGAGGGGCCAACACACAAGTCTCAAAGGGGAGGGGCCAACACACAAGTCTCAAAGTGGAGGGGACAACATACAAGTCTTAAAGGGGATAGGTAAACATGTAAGATTAAAGGGGAGGGGCCAACACACAAGTCTCAAAGTGGAGGGGACAACATACAAGTCTTAAAGGGGATAGGTAAACATGTAAGATTAAAGGGGAGGGGACAACATGCAAGTCTTAAAAGGGAGGGGACAACATACATGTCTTAAAGGGGAGGGGTCAACATACAAGTCTTAAAGGGGAGGGGTCAACATACAAGTCTTAAAGGGGAGAGGTAAACATGTAAGATTAAAGGGGAGGGGACAACATGCAAGTCTTAAAAGGGAGGGGTCAACATACAAGTCTCAAAGTGGAAGGGACAACAAACAAGTTTTAAAGGAAAGGGACAACATGCAAGTCTTAAAAGGGAGGGGATAACATACAAGTCTCAAAGTGGAGGGGACAACAAAAAAGTTTTAAAGGGGAGGGACAACATACAAGTCTTAAAAGGGAAGGGACAACATGCAAGTCTTAAAAGGGAAGGGACAACATACAAGTCTTAAAAGGGAAGGGACAACATACAAGTCTTAAATGGGAGGGGACAACATACAAGTCTTAAAAGGGAAGGGACAACATGCAAGTCTTTAAAATGAGGGGACAACATGCAAGTCTTAAAAGGGAGGGGCCAACATACAAGACTTCAAAGGAGAGGGTCATTACACAAATCTCATCCTAAAGTAATCCAATGACAGGTGTTTAACATATTATTTAAAAAAAAAACCAGTATGCATACTTGTTTTGATGATTTTTACCATTTCTTATAAAATGAAGTTGAATGATGCTTTTCTTGTCACATCAATGATCTAGTTCATCATAAATCCTAATGACTGTCTCTCACAAGATAATTCCTTAAATCCATTTTCTGACATTCAAAATTTAGCATCAAACTTAATTTCACAAATTATATCCCAGTTTACCATTGTCAACTGATCCTGCAATTATTAAAGGTTTGTTTGTTTCTTTTTTCCTGCCAAAGAAGATATTTTATTTGATAAGAGAGAACATTTGCGAAACTTGAGTGCAATATTAAATTTTCAAATGTCAAAAACCTTACTTGTGAGAGAGTTACAATATCGAAGCATACAAAGCAGTAAGTAATTACACAATTATAGATTACAATAGATAACATTTGTTGTACAACATCCATTATCATATTTTCTTCATTGTATAAATATAATAGATATATTCATTAACTATTCACATCCAAGATTATGTACTCCTAAACTGAACAAACCAAAACTTTTTCCACTTTCATAAAATCACCAATTGCAATCTTAAAAATTTTGCAATATAGAGCTAGTCTATTTGAAAAAAAAAAAAAAAATTTGAAAGAAGAAGATTGTTTGAGAGTAAAGACAAATCAATTTCTATTAAATTATATATGTTTTTTATTTCAAAGACAAAGTGGTCAAAAGTTGGTAATGATCTGAAAAGTGCTAAATGGTTTGGTTAACGTTGCTTAACGTCTTATTGAAAGCTAGGGTCATTTAAGGACGGCCACACAGCGGGGTGAGTACATGTGTGTGTTTTTGGCAGACTTTGATAGGTTTGTGTAAGTCTCCATCTGATAGCACTACATTGAATCCAACTTTGTAGTGCTAAGTTTTCTACCGAAGGCCTCCAGCAGGAAACCACATCACAGGTGGTCCAGTTGTTACATAACCATATACTGAATGTTAAGCAGAAATGGTATCTATCAGTTTTAAAGACTCTGGTATGTCTTGGCCAGGGTACCTAACCCGAAGTCACAGTGGCAAAGGCTAAACTAAAAAGCCAAAAGTGAGGTAGTTTCTCGTTCATATGCATTCAAGCAGATACATTGGATGTTCATGAATTTAGGAACCAAACTTTGCCAAGTATCACTGATGACAACAAAATTATATAATTGGCAAAAAAAACATTTTTCTTAACTCATATCAGATAAAAATAAAAAACAAAAAATAAGAAGCCCTTTTGAAATAATAAAAAACAATATTGAAATTTCTTTATTCTATCAGAAAGATCTTCCCATTTAAAATGATATTCATACTGTGAAGGTATCTTGATATAATATGTATTATTTGAAATATATAAAACATTTCTACACTCACACTTTACTAAGACTTTATGGATTGCAGAACAGTGGAAGATTTTGTTTTTGTGTTTCATTGAGGTCAAGCAAGATATACCTAACAGTTCTTCCTCTTGCCAATGTTTCATCTCTTCAAAGTAAACTTGTTATTGTCATCATTCTGCCAAATGGTTAAGTTAATGCAATACATAGAGTATTTCATACATATAGATATACTGGGTCCACTGGTTATATTATCGAGTATTGTACCTGGATTTAGACTTATAAAATATCCATATTGAAAAATCTAATATATTCCTAAATATCCTTAAAAATGATCTGTATATAATAATCTGGATTGAGAAGTTAACTGTTACTCAAATATACAGAAATTTAAATTTGATACTACTATATATGCTGAAGCACTGCAACCACACAACAAGTAACACAGCAGAGAGTTATCTCCCCTGATTGCCTATCACCAGCTGACAGAGGACATGCTTGGGGTTACCTCCTTTTCAAAACTCACCTTCACACTGTTGGAAGGGTTGTAGAGTATCTTGTCAACAGAGCGAGCACTGGCCTCCTGTTGTGGGTTGCCATTCTCCTCGACCTGGTCCTCGAGCACACGGGCCGCAGGATGTTTGGGGACGCGGGACGTCTTACTAGGGGGAGGGGGGGTCGTCATCGACAGTAAATCCACACTGTCAAATAAAGTTTTAATCTAATATAAATTAACATCAACAAACCTCACAATTTCACAAAGCAAATATTGAATTATTCTTAACACAATTGATGATATCAACTTTTTTATAATCATAAAATTTAGTGGTTTCAGGTAGTTTTTAATGCATGTTTAAAAGATTTTGTATGCATTTAGTGTTTCGTTGTCTTGTTGCCTCGTTGTATCTTATCTATAGCAGCTGGCCTATAAAGCTCCTATTAAACAAGTTCTTCATGGTATTATAGATCCAAACTAGAGTCTCATCTGCATAGCACCAGACTCTGGTCTTAGGTAGCACCAGCATACTTCCATATTTTTTCCTCAAAGATTAAATGAGGTCACATAATAGGCATTCACTTGAGTCTTGTAATTTGGGAATTTCAGTCTTTCAAAATTAAAAGTCAAATCTCATATTAATTATACTTTGAATATTTATTAAACACCAGACTTTGGTCCAATGAATTAACAGGGTCAGGTACCTAGGTAACACCAGACTTTGGTCCAATGAATTAACAGGGTCAGGTACCTAGGTAACACCAGACTTTGGTCCAATGTATTAACAGGGTCAGGTACCTAGGTAACACCAGACTTTGGTCCAATGAATTAACAGGGTCAGGTACCTAGGTAACACCAGACTTTGGTCCAATGTATTAACAGGGTCAGGTACCTAGGTAACACCAGACTTTGGTCCAATGTATTAACAGGGTTGGGTACCTAGGTAACACCAGACTTTGGTCCAATGTATTAACAGGGTCAGGTACCTAGGTAACACCAGACTTTGGTCCAATGTATTAACAGGGTTGGGTACCTAGGTAACACCAGACTTTGGTCCAATGTATTAACAGGGTCAGGTACCTAGGTAACACCAGACTTTGGTCCAATGTATTAACAGGGTTGGGTACCTAGGTAACACCAGACTTTGGTCCAATGTATTAACAGGGTCGGGTAACTAGGTAACACCAGCCTCTGGTCCTATGTATTAACAGGGTCGGGTACCTAGGAAACACCAATCTCTGGTCCTATGTATTAACAGGGTCGGGTAACTAGGTAACACCAGCCTCTGGTCCTATGTATTAACAGGGTCGGGTACCTGGAAACACCAGACTTTGGTCCAATGAATTAACAGGGTCAGGTACCTAGGTAACACCAGACTTTGGTCCAATGTATTAACAGGGTTGGGTACCTAGGTAACACCAGACTTTGGTCCAATGTATTAACAGGGTCGGGTAACTAGGTAACACCAGCCTCTGGTCCTATGTATTAACAGGGTCGGGTACCTAGGAAACACCAGTCTCTGGTCCTATGTATTAACAGGGTCGGGTAACTAGGTAACACCAGACTCTGGTCCTATGTATTAACAGGGTCGGGTACCTAGGAAACACCAGCCTCTGGTCCTATGTATTAACAGGGTTGGGTATCTAGGAAACACCAGCCTCTGGTCCTATGTATTGTTGGTAACAGGGTAAGGTACCTAGGTAACACCAGACGCTGGTCCAATGTATTAACAGGGTTGGGTATCTAGGAAACACCAGCCTCTGGTCCTATGTATTGTTGGTAACAGGGTCAGGTACCTAGGTAACACCAGACTCTGGTCCTATGTATTAACAAGGTCGGGTAACTAGGTAACGCCAGACTCTGGTCCTATGTATTAACAAGGTCGGGTAACTAGGTAACGCCAGACTCTAGTCCTATGTATTAACAGGGTCGGGTACCTAGGAAACACCAGCCTCTGGTCCTATGTATTAACAGGGTCGGGTAACTAGGTAACACCAGACTCTGGTCCTATGTATTAACAGGGTCGGGTATCTAGGAAACACCAGCCTCTGGTCCTATGTATTGTTGGTAACAGGGTCAGGTACCTATGTAACAACAACTCTGGTACAACGTATTAACAGGGTTGGGTATCTAGGAAAAACCAGCCTCTGGTACTATGTATTGTTGGTAACAGGGTCAGGTACCTAGGTAACACCAGACTCTGGTCCAATGTATTAACAGGGTTGGGTATCTACGAAACACCAGCCTCTGGTACTATGTATTGTTGGTAACAGGATCAGGTACCTAGGTAACACCAGACTCTGGTCCAATGTATTAACAGGGTCGGGTAACTAGGTAACACCAGCCTCTGGTCTTATGTATTAACAGGGTCAGGTACCTAGGTAACACCAGACTTTGGTTCAATGAATTAACAGGGTCGGGTACCAAGGTAACACCAGACTTTGGTCCAATGTATTAACAGGGTCGGGTAACTAGGTAACACCAGCCTCTGGTCCAATGTATTAAAAGGGTCAGGTACCTAGGTAACACCAGACTCTGGTCCAACATATTACCAGGGTCGGGTAACTAGGTAACACCAGTCTCTGGTCCAACGTATTAACAGGGTTGGGTAACTAGGTAACACCAGACTCTGGTCCAATGTATTAACAGGGTCGGGTACCAAGGTAACACCAGACTCTGGTCCAATGTATTAACAGGGTCGGGTACCTAGGTAACACCAGACTCTGGTCCAATGTATTATCAGGGTCGGGTACCTAGGTAACACCAGACTCTGGTCCAATGTATTAACAGGGTCGGGTACCAAGGTAACACCAGACTCTGGTCCAATGTATTAACAGGGTCGGGTACCTAGGTAACACCAGACTCTGGTCCAATGTATTAACAGGGTTGGGTACCAAGGTAATACCAGACTCTGGTCCAATGTATTAACAGGGTTGGGTACCTAGGTAACACCAGACTCTGGTCCTATGTATTAACAAGGTCGGGTACCTAGGAAACACCAGCCTCTGGTCCTATGTATTAACAGGGTCGGGTACCAAGGTAACACCAGACTCTGGTCCAATGTATTAACAGGGTCGGGTACCTAGATAACAACAGACATGTATGGCACCAGGGGACTGTATATGTATGTTGCACCAGATCATGGACATGTATGGTACCAGGGGACTGTATATGTATGTAGCACCAGATCATGGCTCTGTATGGCACCAAGGGAATGTATACATATGTAGCACCAGATCATGGCTCTGTATGGTACCGGGGGACTGTATATGTATGTAGCACCAGATCATGGCTCTGTATGGTACCAGGGGACTGTATATGTATGTAGCACCAGATCATGGCTCTGTATGGTACCAGGGGACTGTATATGTATGTAGCACCAGATCATGGCTCTGTATGGTACCAGGGGACTGTATATGTATGTAGCACCAGATCATTGCCCCAATATAGCACCAAGGTGCTGTATTTATTCAAACATAGCACCAGATTATACTTGGTCCCATTAAGGACCTGGGCGATGAAAATTTACACTACACTCTGCGGCTTTACAGACATGTTAGTCCTACCTCTGGTCAGCCTGGGTTTCTGTGTTGTCATTCCTGATCAGACTGGCGTCTGGCACTGCAAAGACAGAACAGACCACTTACATTATACAACAGTGTTACATATACAGTTCAGATACAGAGCTGGTAATCACGCTTACATTGGCGTTAAACAGATGGTGGCTAATTTTGTTAGCAGGAAGCAATGTCAGCAGGTTCCCCCTCCTTTTTCTTCTTCACTTCAGTCTATTTAATCATTTCTCTTTCCCCACCCTTTATTCTTCTATTTTATTACTTATACACATAAAAATTCCCCTCCTATCCTAAATCTGAAGGTATAAGCCTCAATCCCTCTCTACCTCCCAATGTATCTGACCCCTATCCTAAATCTGAAGGTATAAGCCTCAATCCCTCTCCACCTCCCAATGTATCTGTTCCCCCATCCTTAATCTGAAGGTATAAGCCTCAATCCCTCTCCACCTCCCAATGTATCTGACCCCTATCCTAAATCTGAAGGTATAAGCCTCAATTCCTCTCCACCTCCCAATGTATCTGTTCCCCCATCCTAAATCTGAAGGTATAAGCCTCAATCCCTCTCCACCTCCCAATGTATCTGTTCCCCCATCCTTAATCTGAAGGTATAAGCCTCAATCCCTCATCTGAAGGTATAAGCCTCAATCCCTCTCCACCTCCCAATGTATCTGTTCCCCCATCCTTAATCTGAAGGTATAAGCCTCAATCCCTCTCTACCTCCCAATGTATCTGACCCCTATCCTAAATCTGAAGGTATAAGCCTCAATTCCTCTCCACCTCCCAATGTATCTGTTCCCCCATCCTAAATCTGAAGGTATAAGCCTCAATCCCTCTCCACCTCCCAATGTATCTGTTCCCCCATCCTTAATCTGAAGGTATAAGCCTCAATCCCTCTCTACCTCCCAATGTATCTGACCCCTATCCTAAATCTGAAGGTATAAGCCTCAATCCCTCTCCACCTCCCAATGTATCTGACCCCTATCCTAAATCTGAAGGTATAAGCCTCAATTCCTCTCCACCTCCCAATGTATCTTACCCCTATCTTTAATCTGAAGGTATAACTCTCCACTTAATAATGTATCTGACCCCAATCCTAAATCTGAAGGTATAAGCCTCAATCCCTCTCCACCTCCCAATGTATCTGTCCCACATCCTACTGAAGGTATAAGCCTCAATCCCTCTCCACCTCCCAATGTATCTGTCCCACATCCTACTGAAGGTATAAGCCTCAATCCCTCTCCACCTCTCAATGTATCTGTCCCACATCCTACTGAAGGTATAAGCCTCAATCCCTCTCCACCTCCTAATGTATCTGTCCCACATCCTACTGAAGGTATAAGCCTCAATCCCTCTCCACCTCTCAATGTATCTGTCCCACATCCTACTGAAGGTATAAGCCTCAATCCCTCTCCACCTCCCAATGTATCTGTCCCACATCCTACTGAAGGTATAAGCCTCAATCCCTCTCCACCTCCCAATGTATCTGTCCCCTATCCTAAATCTAGAGGTTTAAGCCTCAATCCCCGTCCACTGCCCAATATTTCAGACCCCCATCCTAAATCTGGAGGTATAAGATTTAATCCCTGCCTCTGCATCTTTCAATGTATCTGACAATGATCAAATGATCTATCCTGTACTGTTTCTTCACTCCTCATTTTTTTCCCATAATTGTGAATTTACATTCTTCAACCTCCCATCCTCCTGTCTGCCTGTCCTTTTCTCTCTGTTATTCACTTCTTTCAACCCTCATCTTGTATAAACCCCTATTTTTTCTGCCTTAAGCCTGTTCTTTGAGCTTAACCAATTGTTCAGTACTCACTTGGGAGTTCCTTGGACAAACATAGTACACACTTCTCTTCTCCCCCTTTTCCACTCCCCCTTCCACTCAAACTTTATAAACCTGTGATATACAACAGCACATGTATGAACTTTTCTCTCCATAACCTTAGTATTTCTTATCACATTAGAAAGCCACTGTATGCTGCGAAATCTGCAGATGTCTAGTGGATCTTCCTGGGATTCATTTCTATACTAGAACTAAACACATTTTTTGTCTGCATATGGATAAACTACCATACAACATCAACATGTTCTCGAAAAACTTGAGCAGTTCATACACTCATTTTCCATTGCTTATGACTGAAAACTGTAGGGAAAAAAAACAGAGAAATCTGTTTGATTATAACATCAAAGTTATCCTAAGAATTAATGTATCTATCCAGTAATTCACCCAAAATATGGTAAAGAGCATGTCTGGTAATAAGCCAATGTCTGGTCAAAACTTATATCTGGTAGAGTCCATGTCTGGTAACAAGCCTGTAGCTGATAGAGTCCATGTCTAGTAATAAGCCCATGTCTGGTAATAAGCCTGTATCTGGTAGAGTCCATGTCTAGTAATAAGCCAATGTCTGGTAAAATCTTGTGTCTGGCAGAGTCCATGTCTGGTAATAAGCCAATGTCTGGTAAAATCTTGAATCTGGCAGAGTCCATGTCTGGTAATAAGCCAATGTCTGGTAATAAGCCAATGTCTGGTAAAAGCTTGTATCTGGTAGAGTCCATGTCTAGTAATAAGCTAATGACTGGTTAAAGCCTGTATCTGGTAGAGTCCATGTCTGGTAAGGTCCATGTCTGGTAATAAGCCAATGTCTGGTAAAAGCCTGTATCTGGTAGAGTCCATGTCTGGTAAAGTCCATGTCTGGTAATAAGCCAATGTCTGGTAAAAGCCTGTATCTGGTAGAGTCCATGTCTGGTAATAAGTCCAATTTTGGTTAAAGAAGTTCATTTCATTTAACAGATTCATCTATATCCATTGGATTTTCAGTGGGTATTCAGTGGTACTAGCACCAAACATTATATTTTGTTCTGTAATAAACCTATCCCCCCAAAATAGCAATATACCTATCAAGCAGAAAGCCTTCATCTCCATAGATTTGGCGAAGATAAAAAAATTGTAATAAGCCCATGCCTGCAAACAAGCCATCTCCATCAAACACAATATCAGTAGAAAAAATTTAAGCTAAAGAACTGTAATAAGCCCACTCATCCATAAGTATTTCTGTTCAGGACTGAATTAGGAGATTTATAAACAATTATGCTGCAAGAGGTCAACCTTTGTAGGTCCCTTGGGTATTGTGCTGGATGAATATAACAGTACAGCAATATGCTGATGTACAGAAAATCTCATGGCACTGTGAATCACCATACCTACTGAATATCAATGGGTTTGTAAGATAACCAGGCTCCATAAACAACAAGAGTCAAGTGCCATGTAGCATTACAAATGCTTACAGTACCTCCACCAGTTTACGAGTCTATAACTCAATCACACTCCATGAACTTCCAGCATGTCCATTACATTCACAAAAGCAATGGAGCTATGTGTGCAGGGGATGAAGTACAAGTCTTATAAATCGGGCTCTAGATCCTACTCCCCTCAATCAATAACCATGTACAAACATGATGAATTTTTCATGAGGACAACAAACACTTCAGAAGACCTACATAGATCTACTACAGACACCAATCATCCTATCACTGAAAAGGTCTACCTTCCTTTCTCTAAATTAATTATCTCTCCTAACTACATTATAATTATCAATTGCTTTTCCAATTTTGTATCCAGTAAAAGAAATCAACTAATATGAAAATTCAAAACCACATGATTGTGTAACTTTTTCATTTAACATTTATACAACATAACCATATCATAGTCGGACATCATTCCACAATCCAAACTCATGGTTATACACATAGTTCTTGTAATGGAGAAATATTGCATTCAATGTAGAGCTGGCAACTGATTTAAAATGAGGCAAATCATAGCCATGAAGTATAGAAACTATTTACGAGTGCCGTTTTATTAACTTCAAAACATAGCAGTAGTAACACTATCAAAATAACCTCCTAATCTTACATCTCCTTTCAATAAGCACCTGTCAACCATTCCAGCCGCTATCCTTTGCATTTTTCTCCTATCATTCTGTATCTAGCCCCTATCCTATTCTCCAATTCCCTATCCCTGCCTGGTATCATACCATTCTGTGACCACCTAACTAGTCACTAAAACCTGATCTCTCTGCTTCTCTAACCCTGCTCTTCCTTTCTGTTGACTTTCTCTGTCCACCTCTATATTCCCTACAATCTGTCCACTTCTCCACTCCTGCTCCTCCTCTCTGTCTACCTTTCCCTGTCCACCTATTAGCCTCTACAACTTTGTATTATCTACTGGTACATCTCTATCCCTGTCCTGAGGTGCTTCATTCTGCTCTTACTTGCTGTATTCTGTTCAACAAAAGCAACTGAAAAGTAGGCTAGCTACCAGTGCAGTGTCATGTCACTTATTCTAGAGTAGAGATATCCCTTAAAATCATAGTAATTATAGAAATGTTTCTAAAATCTGCTATACATTTATCATAAACCTATAATCAACAACGGTGTAAAATTTCTTATATAAATTGGCACTGTACACTTTGATTCCCCTTAACACCCCCCTTCCCTCTGCCAACCCCCACCACTGGAATACTATACAGAAAATTAAGTATACCAGTTGCACCTTAATCCATATATAACTATTACGAGCTGGCACCAGTCTGAATCTCACATGTTTACCTTCATATCAACATAATGAAGCCCAAAACTATCACTCTGTACATTCCTGATGAAAAAAATCTGCATACCTCTTCATTGCATTCGTAAATAGTCGCACATCCGTCCTTAAACGGCAGGTTGTATGTTAATTAGCATATCAGTGTAGAAAATACGCTCACTATACCAAACAAAAATGGCTGAATGGGAAATAAAATTCCAGCGATCGGTTGACTAGCAACAAATAAAACGTCAATATCTAGCAGTGTGTATGCGTGGGTCGATGCTGATGGTCGTACATGTCAACAAGAGTTTATAAGACCTGCTTATCACTAATGTATGCAAGCCATCAGAATCCAACTCACAAATCCGGTAGAAATTACGCCAACACACGGAGACCAGGTAGAACCTTAAACAAACACCATACTGTAGATATTGTTGTTGATCATGGTACAACAAATA